GGAGCTGGAGACCGGAGGACCCCGCGGGTTCGACCGGCTGGTGGACTTTCACGAACTGTGCTCAACGATATCGGTGAGCGGGTCCAATTGAAACTCTCCTAGGTCCCATCCCCGTATCCACCATCACCATCACTACCAACACTTTCATCCCTCCCTGCTCTGCACCATCCCTTCCTTCCCCCAAGAGTAGAGATAACCGCGCGCGCCCTAATGTACAAAGAGCCCTCTATTCTGACAACATGCATATACACATGCTTTGCTTCGTTTTCGAAGTTGCGGGCACAATGAGCACTTAAACCGGCATTTTTAGTAAAATACGTTTTTTTCTGACAGCAGTTATACCGAATTTCTGCACGTTTAGATGGAGAGAATACTTCTGTGGGGATTTAATGCAGCAACGCGTAGGAGAACTTCGTCAACTGACGACATTCATGTAACCTTTTCATTCGTTTTGTATTTTAACAAACAAATGTTAGAAAAACGCGAGCTAAATCCAATGATTTAAAATTTTTGTTACATTTTATATCCATAGCATATAAGCACAACCATATCAGTGGCCTTGAAACTCCTCCATTTGTCTTTGCTGTATGGTTTCGGTTTGTTGCTGTCTGCACAACGAATAGCACGCGAAACAGTTATGGTGGCATTCGCTGGTGTTAATATCCTCACCAGTGAAGGGTGCGTTTTGTAGTACTGGTGACAGCTAATCGAGTACTGTCAGAGAGGCGGTTGATTTGAAACATCATGACCCTCTTAACCACTCCGCGCTACCACCTAAAGAGGCCTGAGCGGCAGCTAGCTCTAGCGCCTCGAAAGGTTGAATACTGCGGCTCTCGTGGAAACAATTTACCTTCTGATTTGATGGCAAAAGCATTATTCCTATTGAATAAAGTCTTCACTAAACCACCAGACCATTTCTCACTTTACTTATCACTGACTGGTGAATTGCAGGGGTGATTTACTGTGGTGCTGTATTAATATGGCTTTGGTGCACATAATAGACAGGAACGAAGAACTCGTCTTTAAGGACACTTAACAAGACTGCTATGGAGTAGATGTACTATTCCATAAAAGATATGGCTTGGCTAAATTGCATTTTATGCTTATGTGAGTGAGGGAATAGTCCCACAGCAGCGACTTTCAACCTCATAGTAGCACACAAAGGAGGGGAAGAGCGTAGGCATTGGGACCATGACTGGGAAATTTTAAGACCTCAAAGAAGTGTGAGAGCGCAAAATATTCATTTTAAATTTAACCGAAACTCTCTGCCACTCCGCAACTCATGCCGAAGGTGAGTGAGGGAATTTGCACTACTCTCAGTTTCCGGAATGCATTAGCCAACAACAGTTGAGTGAACAGAAGCAGTAAAAGTTCTCCTGCTCATTTAAATGGCCCACTAATTGAAAATGATCGTAGCGATGGGCCATCATAAATTTAGATGGGGAACATGGGGTCTCTTGAGCTCTAGTCCTCTACCAAATTTTGAGAAGTGGTGTCAATTAATTTTACTAATCGTGGGGAATCGGGAGGACCGAAACACATGTTCGCATGAAATACAAATTGTCAAGGCACTGACGATTGCAACAGTGCTTTTTTATTAATTTTTTCCCAATGTCACAGTCAAGCAGACCACAGTTCTCTTATTTATGTCTCAACCGTGCAATTAAGCAAGGCTTGGGGAAAATGCCTCTTGCAATTGTGGGAAGCCTTAGCACTAGCCAGACAGGAAGGTATAAAAATACGGACTCACGCACATTGACGACGAAAAGGTTTCCACCTAAACAGAGGCTAGCGAGGTGGTACCAACTTCGTGGAAATTTATATTTTGGTCGGTGAAAGCTCAAACCTGTTTGTTTCCCTAGCCACTGTTTCATTCACAGGCGATACCTGTTGGACAAAAAGTCTTGCGAATATCCTCTTGATGGACAAGTTTCAGTTTCAAGTCCTGATGGATGCAGTACAATTTATTTAGGTGGCCATAACTAAAGGATTGGGCGTCTTCAGACGTCTTGTAACATTACTGGCTCTGATGACTCTGTAGATACACCCCTGCTTGTACCGCCGGCGCGAGTACCTTAAGGACCTAAGAGGCAGGACTTGAAGAATTCACTCACTGCCTGCGCCTTTGATAGACTTCTAAGCGGCTTATTTATTGTCGGACATTGAAAAGGTGCCTGTGCAAACAAACAAGCAACCAACCGCACCTATCTAAAAGGCCGCCGAAGATGTACCTTGCAAGCTGTTTGTAGGCGATACTACCTCGAGTGCTTCATTCTAAAATAAAGCGAATACCGCGGTCAGCTCCGGTTGTAAGATGAAGGCCAAAACTTCGCTGACCGAGTGGTTAAATGAACCCGACTTTATGCTTGTAAAGGGTAGTTGACTTTGGTTATTATACCTACATACATTTGTAAATGTCCTCTGTTAAGTTCCTTGTTAAAAGGCAGTACTGACGTATTTACTGTTATCTGGGCATATTTGTTAGTGAGATTAGTGTCTACGGCGACAGTCTGGTTCACTTCACAGGGTCACGCTGTAGCTATCTGGTGAGGTATATGATTTTCTACAGTTTGCTAATCTCCGACACCTTCTGTAAGCATACACGAAATCACTCCTTTACCGACTGACTACAAAGAACACACCCCCCCCCCCCCCCCCAACCTAGTGGTCGTCGGACAGAACCGACCCACGACACCAACGGCGTTTGTCGCCCTTAAAGCCTGGGCAAGCGTTCACACCCCGTGAGGGTGGAAACAGCTGGAAGAGTTAGGAACAATGGCTAATGGTTGTCTCCCTCTGGCTATTTTCAGAATTATAGACCCAACAGCTGTTGCCTGTTTGCTTGACCTCGGCTGCCCTGTCAAAGCTCCTGCTGTCATGTACTAATGCATCTTCCTCCAGGTCATTTTCACCCTGTTGAATTGGCAGAAGGCTTAAGCCTCTTCTGGTGACTTAAACAGCATAACGAATGTAAGATTCAGAACTTTTCTTTGGTTTGTTATTTTCGGATTGCCAAAAATGAAGTAAATGACTGTTAAATGTCAAAAGTCTCCGCATAATCAGTAGAGAGGTTACCTAGCAGATCATAGCCAAAAAATTGATACGCCGATCCACTTGTCTGTGATACATTCGGCTGTGGATGTATATTTCATTGTACCTCCGCAACTTAAGTGCTTCTAAAACAGCATCATCTGAATCACTGATCCTGATTTAGGACTGGCATTACTGATATGCGCATCCGTGGATCACTTTTAGTTGAGCTGAGAGCGACCGAAAGGCCTCTAGTCCACAGCCACCTCCGTCTAAGTGTCATTTTGATATATGTGAGACATTGAAAAGTAATTCTCTTGAATTGATTGAGTTTAATCTGGTGAGGATGAAAACTTCCCCTCTTTTTTATTCTCATTATTTAAAACGGTTTTCCCCTCCAAGAGTAGTAGCAACTGCGAACGAACTTGATAGCCCCTGCGTGCCAAAGGGCAGACATTGTTTTTATCTAAAAATTCCAATCTCAACACCTTGGACTGAGTAAATTAAGCTTTATCACCATGGCAGAAACAAATACCAACTTGAAATAAACCAACGCCAAGGCCCCAAAAATATCCACTGGATTCGTCGACTCACCTAACGCAACAAAACATCAAAGCTCACTGCCAGAGACCTCAATTTATCCTGGATTATTTTTACTAGATAATCACTATTATACCTAAAGGAAAGGAGAGTCAGATCTTTGCTGAAATTTGGTCTACATCCAGTTTTTAAGGTGATGAGCGGACATTTACCGCGGAATCGAAAACCTGTGATCAGGGATAAGAGCAGGTAAGTAGGAAAAGCATTTTTGGATTAGGTATTTCAATGTGTCCTGTTTTTGTACACAGATAATCTGGGGCTAAGCGGAGGACTAAGCTAGTTGCTCGTGCAGTGGGCTTTTTGACTACGCAGGTTCCGTCGCTGTGTTAAACGATTTCGTGGACTTTGGTCTGCACGACTCAATTTGTATGATAAAAAACAACCAGTGGAATGACACCACCCTTAATGTCTCATTCGGTTCCCAGTGTCAGTGGGAATGGATAAAATCGGGTATTTGTGGCGTTAAAAACTTCCTCCACTTTTAGCCATTTTAAGCTATCAGCTCCTAATACAGTCAACGTATAAAGCATCATAATAATCAAATTAATTTGGGTTTTCCTCATATTCTCGGAAAAATTTGTCTTTCACCAAAGGCAAATTAGATTTGTTGAATCATTTTTCTGCTCGTCATCGTGCCAGGTGGCAATAAACAAATGTAAATCGAAGGAAGTCCAGTTACAATGCCCCTTAGAAGGGAAGCTTCCACTCCCTGAAATAGCGTTTCTATTTTTAATTTACTCACGAAACTTAACTATTCAAAGACCAGAGCATTTAAAAATAGATTTACTTTAAGAGCCAAGTCAAACTACTTAGACCAGATTAATTCAACTGATCTCGATCATTTCTACGCCTCGTTTCCTTCCTGTTCCTACCCTAGAACGCAAAGTTATCTCTACAAGTTCCTCATAAAGACTGGCCCATTCGACTTCTTTTAGGGAATATTTACGAGTAAAATTTTGGCACAGTAGTACCTACTCAAACAAAACCGCACATTCTTTGTGGTGACCTCCCTTGACTCAACAGGAAATTTTGTGATTCGGTAAGCTTGGGGAATATAAAGTAAAATCTCCCAACTTCTGCAATCCAAAATACTATTATTTTTAAGAAAAAACCTCCCTTACAAAGCTTTCATTCGCATCTCGAATAGCATAGCTGGCAGGTGAGGAGGTCCACCCGAATTTTGGAGGCAGAAAATACAGACGGACACGGATTCCTATTAAACAATGTAGGCCAGTTTGTTTTTTTTTCTGTGATTCCCCTTTTTTAATGCGCCACTCTTAATAGTTATTTGAACGACGCGAGTATCATCACACTGGAACCTGACAACACGGAATTATCATTTCCGATGTGGTATCCGTTGCTGAGTAACTGAGGCTACCGTTAACACTCGAGATGTGGAATACAACGCGATAAATCCTCACCATAACATAAAACTTCTTCGGTTTCAAAGAATTAGATGATCTTGAATATTAGCCAAGCTCCTTGAGGTAAAAAACTAAAAGTTGGCTTTTTCGATCTGTTATACATGTTAAATAATTGGTAAAAAGTGGAATAAAAGAGACTACCTGCTTATTTATGCTCTTTTACACCACCGAATTTAGCCATTTCGTTCGTAAAAATAGCCATGCATACCGTCGATCAGGCATTCTCCTTTTGAGCAGTGGAAGGTGACGGGGCTTTTAATTCCAAGTGAGGCTGCAGTCTATGCTGACGGCGCAAGTGATGTAAATGCCCTGCTGACGTAACCGAAATGGGCAGGCCGAAGAGACGCATTAAGGCAGGTACTCCCCTGTGGGTGCGTGTATTTTATGAGGTCTGTCAATTTAGATAATTAGATACTCTCCTTACCTAACGTCAGGATGGCATTTTAGGAACTATTCCAAATTACCTCATGTATTGACAGGGATTTCAATGCCTCAGCGATGGTTACTTCCGGCTTTCCCAGCGCCCTTCTCAAGCGTATTTTAATGCGCACCAAACTGGAACATCATTTGAGGAGCTGGAAATCAAAAGGTGCACTACAGCTAACTCTCGACCTAAATATTTGTCACAGCGGGCATACGAAGCCTATGTTAATTTATCCTTAAGAATTAGCATTTTTTTCGCTGATGTATGCACCCGCTTTTCGTCTTTCCACAGGGCTGAATCTGCTAGGTCAGGCAGCATTCTGACATTACGAACGTCATTAGCCGTGGCACGGCATTTAAGGAGGGTAGAGGCTTGGATAGTGTGAAGGCTGCAAAAGCCTTTTACATGTGTATTCACCTCAGTGATTCGGTGTATACAATACCTCTTAGGGACAATCACATCGGCCTGCATCTTCTTCACTCCATGCGGTCCGCTGGGGCCGACCGGTGTTGATTTTATGGCTCGGCCTAAAGAACGAACGCATTTCTCCTCGAACCTCTGTGCTCCCAGTGATACGCCACTCGTGGTAATTAGATTTGACCATGCAACCGCTATTTCCGTCCGTAGGTGATTATAATAGTGCTGTGGGTGTCTGAGTGTGAGATTTTTTGTCGCTTTCAGTTCCTTTACATGTTTAATTTTATGCACGCCTTCATTTAGGCTTCAAAATTGGAGTACATGGTGGAAAGATGGGTAGGGTTTCAGATGGCGCGGGGAAGGAAGTTGTAACCTAAACTAATTATTCATGAATCAGGTTTGAAGGGGTTTTTCCTCCAAGCAGCAATCTAGACAATCGTTTTTTGCTAGTTACTTTGGTTTTCTAAAAACAGCAAGAGAAACGTGCAGCAACTGCCTTTCTTCAGGTTTTGGGAAATTCTCAGCCTTTACTTCCTCGTTTCGGGTTTGCCAAGCCTAAATGATTACCATTTTCCTGGGCGAATAAACGCTCCCATCCCTATTTATGCTCGGATACGGAAAAAAGCATTAAGTTCTTGGAGAAGACAAGTTTCTTTTGCTGGAAACAAGAAAATAAAGTAAACGAAAGAGAAAGTTTTCTAAACATTAATTTGGTAAACTGATCATGAGATCCCACAGTGAACTCCCACTGCCAGTCAGCATTAATTATTCTTCTTGTCTTGCCTTCGTAATTTCAGATGCTTTTCAGAAGCTTGCACCGGATTTAACTATTGACGCATTATTTTAACCCTATGTTAGATGAAAAGCAAGCAGGATGACATAAATGGCTTGGAAGGGTCGGACCTACGTGAACTCCCGTCACTTCAAGTACACCAAAGGGGGAATTTTCCGACAAGACATGCCACTTCAATCAGACTAAGGCAACCAAATGTTCACTTTGCTCATTTCCTTGCCTAAACTGGATGGCTAAAACAGCCAGACACGAAGCAATATAAAGAGCACCTCTAAGCCGGAAATTTGACGGACGACTGTTTTTGGCTAACTCAAAAGTTATGGTCAACAGAGAGCCCATTTCTCAGCAGATGCTAGTGTATAGTAGCTACACAACGATACACTCAAGAGTACCCTATTCGTCTTGTTACTTTTATTTATTCTTGCTAGTATTTCGAGCAGTACTACCTCTCCTATGACATGATAACCTCGGGCAGAACCAGCCGCTGTACCAGTCCTACCTGAACTTTGACATGCAAGGTAGAGCATTAAAAACGGATGCACCGAATAATTAAACAATGCAACTGTGAGATTACAAGCCTTCGGGACATTGACATTACCCATGTTACAGGTTTTGTGTATAGTCAGGCCATGAAAACATGAAAATAGGGCATGCCAGCAACTAATCAGTTACCATAAACAGAATTATATTTTAGCACCTGGGTCCAATTTTCCCCATCAAAATGCCTATTTTGATACTTTGGAAATGGACCGGTCAGCCACCCGTCTTCGCTAACTTTCAAGAGGGGTAACACTGGGCACACCTAACCACTGCACCAACCCTATCTGAACTTTGACCCGCATGGTAAACTATTCAAAACGGATGCACCGAATAGCCGCATAGTGTAAATATGAGATTACAATCCTTTGGGACATTGACGCGACCCATGTGACAAGTGTCGTAGAGAGTCAGGCTATAAAACACGCCAGCAAGAATTCTGTTACCTGAAACAGAATGATGTTTTATTATTGACGATCAATTTCCTCATTAAAGTGCTTATTTATTTGGAATGGGATGTGAACCCACTGCTCACTCTTCTCTACCAACTTTCAAGAGGGTGGTGATGGCAGTTGCCTAGAGGTAGTGCACAAACTTTTTACCACGAGTAAAGTTATCACTCAAGTCAATTCAGTCTGGGTTAATTTGGAAGTCATTTTCACAAGACAAAGCAACTTTGATGCTCCTTACTCCCAGCTTCACCCACACTTGCATCGTATTAGTACATCGTATTACCACCCTGGGCTGAGGGTATTATACATTATGCATCGTCAATCCATTAGCCAAAAGCTTTAAGAAGTGACTCTGAGACTTCCATTGAGCGATCATCGCCAAAGCCATTATATTCTCTCTATAAGAGCACAAGCAAAGCATTTCATAAGAGGAATGAAGTGGACGAAACTGCTTCGGCGTCGAAGTCAGTGTGTTTGCGAAACTGCCGAAAGACTAAAATTTTCCCGTGAATGATGGTTTAATAGCAAGCGATTGCGGAGGTAGATGGAAAAAAGATCATTTACAGATGGCAAGCAACCACTTTAGGCTCATTGTTAACTCCACAGGACAGGCGTTCTAATGTCCACTTCCTTCACCTCTCATCTTGGACTTGTAAAAAATTCAGCGATTGAGAACTCTAGGTAGGGGTATGACTTAACTGGCCAGGCGGGGATGGAGACAGATCCACTTAATTTAAAAAATCAGCCAAAATTATGAGATCTAAAACCGTTTAACCCCACCCACAAATTCTAGCGCAGTTAGGTGGGAGCGGAATCCCTTCCATGCAACTGTCTAGGAGGGGAAATCGCAGCCTAAACTAGGGAGGTTGTTTGTTTGGAAACAACTTTCGCCTAGTTTAATTATAGCTTCCCCTGGAATATTTTTTTCAATTCAAGTCTAGTTAATTATATGGCAACGCAATAAAGCAACTTTCGCCTTCAAGTGATATTAACTCACCTAGACATACTTATCCGGCACTATAATTTGGGCCTTGGTTCACAAGACCTAACCTGACCGTATCAACGCAGATATATCGCTTTTTTAAATAACGGAACAGCTAGAGGGTAGCTTAGTAGTTTATTTTAAGACCTAAAATGAATATGCATTTACCCTGTCATCTACCATTTCTGCTTTGTCCACTGCAGATGAGCCAAATGGAGAGCATTTTAGGTGGTCCGCATAATCAAAGTCGTGGTAAATTACACCTTACAAGTAATGAATATGAGACCCCTTTAATGAAAAAATTTTGAGGCTTTCTGCCGTGAACTAGATGCCAGAACCTCAGATGGTTATAGCGTAGCGTCCTAAGCCTTTCAGAATGGCCGGTAGGCTACTGGCATGGCCCAGAGGCCGCGCCACCCAGCAAACGCTCACAGTCGGAGCCCTAACGTTCCTGCGAAACCGAAAGGGAGAGCCAAACAAATATTTGAAGCATTTCATTAGCGCTCTAGGTCATCCCCGAACACCGCCTTTAGGGCATGCGAGTGTGCACGAGGGAGCTGGGAGGCTGTGGGCGTGTACAGGATACCATAACAAGGATTATGTCAGTCGCGAAGAATGCAGAGCCCACAGAGTTGGATATTTTATCACACACCCCTCATTCTTCAGCACTCTGTGTGGTGATTCTTCTCTGTTTAGGTGAAAACGAGTTTTCCTGGGAATTGCAATTAACCGTAGGGCTAGAGAGATGACCGAAGCATATAAAAAGTAATGAGCTTAGCTTGAATTATGGAATATCACACTCTCTTCGAGACGAAGCGCATCAGAATGAAACTTATGTGGGCAAAAAGTTGAAGCCTGGAGAATGCTCGAAGTCGAGAATAATTCGCGTACCATTCACTTTCATGGGAAACATATAAAGAAGAGGCCATCAAGTTTCTGGATTGCGATCCTGACCACTACATTCAAAGTACAATCGTAAGAGGTTTTCACAATTCATTTCCATGGGGCTAATTGTAAGAAATCAGAGCGGCTTGGACCACCCTCATCAGTCTTTCCTGCTTGGTTTAGGCGCACTTTCCAAGCCTGCTCCATTTCGATCAGTTGTACTACTTACGAATGATACGGTATGGCCTCCTGAATCATTTCTAAACACCTGACAAGGCATTTCAGCTTATAGCCATTCGCGCCAGAGGCGCCGAGTGGCATTAGGCCCCACTGTGCCGTAGAGCTTACGAACTTATACACTTAAAACGAATCGCATATTTACGGTACAAATAGTGTTCCGCACCATTAAGATTTGAGGAATCATTAATGAAAAGCACCTTTGATTGCGCCTACTGAACAATGAAATACGCGATATCTAAGGCTGCGTGTGTGTCTAAGTAAACAGGCGTGTAGTGCAATGACGGTAGGCTTATCTCCTCATAAATCATAAAAATCCATTGGCAGAGGAGCACTACTAGGCTAAAGTATGCTCCCGCCGAGTGAAATACCACCGCGCTTATGAATATTTTATGTGTGAGAAGGCTCTAGGGCCATTTAATCGGAACTGCAATCCCCTTTACAAGACAGCTTTGGGCAGCTAGCCCACCATATATAACCACTGGACACCGTATTTGTTTAACCCCAAGTTGATATACTTCATAAGGACGAAATCACCCAGGTTTTGGAGCAAATCTTACCATAGTGATGCGAATTTTCATAAAGGGGAAATGCCGCACTCCTCACAGCACACGTAATTGCTGTACTGTGTGGGAATTCACATCCTCGCTGTCGACAATTGTTCACTTAAAAGCAGCATTTTTACCTTTCTTTTCATCGTAATTGTTCACTCAAACCTCCGGAGTTCGCCTTATTCATCCTACTTCCCATTGTTTGGAAAACGAAGCATACATTAATTAGCGCAGGCAAAAGGTGTTAAAGTAAGGCATCGGAATGGGTAATCGCGAATCTCCCGCAGACATCATGTAATTGCATCTTTACTTCCACAGATTAAGAGGATAAAGCTCAAGCATTCCCGCGTTCTCCTACCCCAATTCTTGTAAAGTGCACCAAAAGGCAAGACAATAAGGAACAAAATAAAACTGCTTCAAAATAGACGGCTGTGTGTAACAGTTCCTATCCACTGGGCATGTGTATGGTGCTGTATGGTCGTTGAAATCATACCCAATTGGCTGGACCCATTAGTCGAATTCCTCAATATAAATTGCTTCCTTTAAACGTAGATTTTGAGGACTTAGCCCTAAAAAGCATGACACTTTTTACCTACAGTGCTCACTCATGGTACCGGTCAATTGATATCGGATTATGGAGTGTGCTTTCGGACACACTTGGAAAACCATGTTCTTAGGCTTTTTACCCGTAAACCAAGCCCAGCTGAAGACAGACTGACAAACAGAGAGACCTATAAAGAATTAGCATTCTCTGAGTTAAGATCTCAAAGGCGTCTATGATGTCTTATTTTACAAAGCACAATAAAACGGACGTATCATACCTAAACCCTTTCCATTAAAAACGTGATCTACCACGTTTAAGGTGAGAGATTACTGCTTTACCGGTCCCCATATTTGCAGTGTGAGCGGACAATGTTAAGTGCTCCGACTCTGTGAAAAACCGTAGGTTTAAAAACAAAAACACCAATGCAGCGCAACCTGCTAGGCCACTTTAACTCCCCAATCACTTTTTTATTAAAACCCAACGCGTCGGAGTCCGAACAAGAGATCTATCTTTAGCAAATTAAACAGCTCGCTTTATGGCCCTTTGTTTGCTCTGTGGCCACTGACCTGGAAACCTGGTTTAAAACACCTACACCATATTCAAGAAGGCAAAGTGAAGACGCGTGGTGAATGCAATCCTAACCCTTCCAACTTCTCAGTGTGAAAAGAGCATAAGTTATGGATAAGTAAAACCTACTATCACTTATTTCTCTGACTATGTGGCAGATGATTTTGGTCTTGACAACAAGATATACTTCGGTTTATGGTCTTCATGACAATCGAAGTCGGATTCAGGGGTACAAAAGAAATGTTATTTGATGATTCAAATGATGTACACGTGGAGTAGACCAACGTATTCCTTCTTCCAGCAGGCCCACCTTAATTCTTTTCCAACAATTTCTTCAGTACACGGATGGAGGTAGAGAAGAACACATTTTCTCTTAAATTTTGCCATGCTAGCTCATGATATTCAGTACTTTGCATGTGACTACTCAAAACGCGTTCCAAGTTAGTTGAGAACTTGTTCAAGAAAAGGAGTTATGGGAGTACAGCTGCTTTCTGTTCATCGCGTGCACAGAGAGGAAAAAATAAGCTTTCCAAGGAAGATACTTTAAGCACAAGGAATTGGGTAGTGGGATGGTGAACGCCTCATTCTCGGTCTATTTTATGGACTGTTCTCTTCAAGTATCTACTCATCCCGGAGCAAATCACAAGCAGTATATCATTTCCTAGATTCGCTTCATTTCAATTTTTTCCCCATTGAAAAGGAGGTTGTGGTATATTTTTTTGTGCAAGTGGGTATAAGGTTTAAAATACAAGGTTTAACACGGTCATTGTCGATTTCGTAGCACAATAAAGCAATCCTGAGGTAATGGGAATGGGAACTTTTTAATACGTCCAATTTTTTTTCCAAATATAGGCCTGAGAAATTTGATGCACAACCATGAAGCGATGCTTACAAAACGTTGCCGATTGAGAGTGCGTAAGTAATTTTAAGGTGAGCCTTACACGGTCCAGAACCAGTGCTCTCGCCTCCTGATTGTCATGTGCACCGACTGCATCAAGATGTAACAAATCGAAATCATTGGGGAGTTGTATTTTCAAACCACGATCACCAACCTGAGTTGGATTCACTTTTTCTGATGTTAAACTAAGCATCAGCGCTTATTCACTCATGCACAAGCGGTTCACTGTAGCAACATTTCCCACGTGAAAGTTTATTTGCTGCGAAAAAGGATGCGGTTCACCCCCTACGAAATGGAACTCCGACAGTAAATGGTCAAATAAGTACCGATGGAGATTGATCAGACTGAGCATTCGGAAAGACCTGCAGGGTGACCACTAGATCATTGTTCCGGTAACCAAGTAAACTTCCGCTCCAATGACAACTTGGAAGAATGAAGTTAGGGCTAATCCTTTGGCTACTGTAGCCCGCATGATAGTACACTGATCCGGTAGTTGCCTGGCATTTGCATCAAACCACTTTCAACCAAATCATATCGCAAACACGTCATTGGATCCCGTGCGAACAGGCCCCAGCGCATTCGATCGCCCTTCGACACTATTGAATGCATAGCGAGCGCGCGGTACGTCAACCAGCTGTGTCGAGGGCGTCATCCAGTGGTACAATGTGAATGCCCCAAAGCTAACACGGGTTGAACTCGACTGCTCATCAGTAAACAACCAATGAGTAAACCCCATTTCTTCCAAGGGATCGAAATCGACAATTGGTCAACCACTTTTAAAAAATGGGGTAAGAAATGGAAAAACTCTTAATCACAATCGTAAAAAGTAGAGGAATCGCTAGTTGAGTCAGACAGAGATTCAAATGAGACTTCTGACTCCTCTTTATCCATTCCTTCGCCATAGTAGAGGTAAACCGTGAGGCCTTTTGGCCTGCCATGGATGAGTGCAAGCTCACATTCCAGCTGAGGAATCACATCCACCAGCGCGGCACCTATGAACCTTCGGTGCAGTTCAAACAACTGACCTGAGATGAGAATGCAAAAAATGAATCAAAAGAGGCTACCCAAATTGTCTATTTAAGTATGAAGCTACTGATCAACCTGCGTTAGTGTTTCTTGGAAGGAACAGAGCCACAGGGCCTCCTGAGACAGTCACAGAAGCGATCGCCTCTAGAAGATTGAAGAAGTTATTACAAGTCTCGCCTCCACCTGAAATAGTGAGACTAGACAGGGAGAAGACGGTGGAGGAAGAGTAGGTGGGTCCACCCCAGGGAGGCGACGCGAAGGCCGCTGAAAATCGATAGCGTGTTTCCCGCAAGAAGGCGAAGGCATCAGCATGGACGAAGGTAATACGTTTGTGCACGCCGTAGACTCGCGCGTTGGCCTTGGCCATCTGCAACATCGACTCGCTTACGTCCACCGTCACAACTGAAGCCAATAAAGCAGTCATAAATCGGTCCGCATGATGGTGAAAATCACAACGTCAAGAGTAATGAGAGTTTACTTCTCGGGGAACAAAAAATCCGTGCGCTAATGCATAGTGCATGTGCTGGAGACAGACGAAACCCAGGAGGAGGACTTCCCAATAAGGTTTCAAAGTATAGCGTGGAACCTGTTGGAGGATGTCTGAGGAACTTGTCTTAGCAGTAGATTCCTCCACTTGGCGGTTGGACGCATCCCATACGGCATTACGCCGAGGGGTCATGGAGCACGATTTAACCCAAATCAATAGTAAGTAGGGTAAATGAAGAAACGCTGTTTAAGGGCAGTCAAAAACCCGAGTCCTCAGTCCTTTAAAAGAAGTCATTTTTACTCGGCAACTGCGTCAGGATTAATGACATCCCAAAGCGTAAAACAAACAGGGATATTGAAACGAGGATAATGGAGAAAACCCTTCTGAACGCGACAAATGTGGCGAAGAAGCAGAGGCGGGCACGGATGGAGCGTGTGTTTGTGTGTGCATACATGCGTGTGTGCATTTCCGTTTTAACTGTAGGCGGGGTCGGTAATAAAATGAGGCGTCGAGGAATCACGAAGTATTTGGCGCAGAGTGGGGAGCGCACCATTGCGCTGGTGGAGCACCCACCAGGCTCCATTATATGCATCTACTGATATGGCAATCTGATGCCTTCACAATTTGCCTTCATTTAGCATTTTGCAAAGCTGAACATATAATCCAAGGTGGATTTATATCTCTTTCATGTTCTCGGGAATCAAAGAAATGGTTGAAAAATAATGCTGGCAAAAGCCAAATGGCGTTTAAACAAAAGGAGTCGGCAGAGCAAGCCTCAAGGCATTCGATGAGACTGCGAGAGCCATAAAGACAAGCTGCCAATTTATCTACTTATTTGAAACAGTCCGGCTCATATTACGCATTTCTAAAACTATTTAACTGACATTATTTATATAGGTTAATTTCGTGTAAGTCATAAAACACTCAGCAATGGGGGTTTCCCGAAATTGCACTCAAGGTGGGGGCTGCCACCTCATAAAGTCACTTGACTCATGAAGAAAAGATTATGTACTTTACCAGTGTTTAAGATAAAAAAAACTACTTAATTAATAAAGAGGAGAGATTGAACCCACCTAAGCGTAGTGAGCGTATGCAGCAAAAGCGAGGCGGAGAGCTTTGTGACGGACACCAATGAAATTTAGAGAGGAGGCTGACAAAGCAATTAAACCCTGTAAGTAGTTGTAATACGGTGGCTGTTTCGTTACCCCTCGGTTTTAATAAAATGACCACTCTGGGGCTCCTTTTCCGGGGTGGACTGGCCTCCATGTCACGCCAGTAGCCCCTTCCGCCACTCTGTACATCGAATACGTATATTCTGCCCGAGTATTATGACTTCATTCATCTTCAGAGAAATCTCAGGGGAGCTACATTGGGGACAGCGAAAAGTAAACTGATCCTAGAAGGCAATTAACCTGATATCTACTGCTGAGCGATAAAGATTAGCGAGAGGAAGGGGTGTATATGCTGCATATGGAAGAACCTGTGATGACGTCAAACAGAAGGGCTAAAAAGACATCTACGCCCGGCATCTACACCAGTCCCGTGGTCTGCAAGAAACCTGTTAACAACTGAAGAGACACAAACCGTAAACTATTTGGAAAAGCTCGTTGCGGAGCTGACTACCGTATTTGTATGAAGGTGGTAATGAAGTGAACACACAATTACCGCCTCCTCTTCCCTACTAGCACGATAGAGCTCAGATAGACATGGTTGGGCAGCACCGAAGTGAGAATAACATGGCAAGGAGGAAGAGAAGTAAAACCGTATGCCCACAAAACTATTTCAAACTCCTTCCTTTATTACATGACTCTGCCTTTGGGCTAGTGTTTCTGCAGCTAGCTATGGACACGCGTGCTGGTCAGCGCATTACCCCTTCCCGAATCCAATTTCCATGCGGGATCAGTAACGTTACGATCAAGTATCTCCTCAGCTGCATGGCAATTCAATGACTGGCACGGTTGGCTAGTGGGTGTTTTTCGTACAGCACCAATTATGTTATAATAGCTGAGGCGGGAAGTTGACAAGTGGGCTCGCCGGAAACGACGCTCCGCCATTGTACCTTTGCCAGGTGAGCTGGCCTCCGGGCCGTGCCAGCAGTTCCTCCCGTTCCCTTCCGCCCGAATACTATATATTCTTTCGTCTTCAAGAAAGTCTCGAGACGCTACATAATCATAAGCATGGTTGTCCCTGAATGCCGGAACACCAAAGCAATAAAGCCAGATACTCAGACTGCTGCCGGATTCACTTCATGCTACTTAACGCATATCTGATTGGGGCCGACAGGAAGTGGAGAGAGGCTAATTGACTCCTTAAGTCTACCGACTTTATTATAACACACTTCGAGCAGACGGCGGGAGTCTTATTAGATATAATGAATTCCAAATCTTTCCACGCGTTTAACAGATTCCTGTTATATAATATCGCGTTCTCAATATCCACCTTTGTAAGCAACGGCAAGCATTCATTTTTGAATGAATCTAACGCCAGATCAAATTATGCTTCCAACTCAAGAGATTGCTACATTTCGCACCCTGATGAGTATTCAAGAAAGAGTAATAAAACAGGAAAAAAAAACATCTGATCTGTTTTTGAGAAAGTGGGGAAAGGTAAGGACTGTTTACCGTTGAAGCCTACAACCGCTAACTGGATGCAGCTTCCGCCGATGCCGGTGAAGAGATCGAGAACGGTATGAGAGGACGGCGGTCCACCAAGTATATTTGCCAATCGCCGCGCGTGGTGCACAGCAATCACCTCCGGCGTGACGCTGAAAAGACCCTCTAAAGTACAGGAAAGGGAGTTAAATCTTGCTGCTTATTGCCGACGCGTAACATCAGATAAGACGGTTAAAGCCTAGTTACGGATGCATCACCGTCCTCCAGGGTACACTGGCTCATACTACCTCCGTAGCAGTAATAAAAAGGTGTAAGCGTAGATCAAATGCATTTCATCTAACCAGCGCTGATTTCTACAACCAGAGCTGCAATATTCGCGTTTTCTTAAATCAATTAGTGGCCAACCCGGTTGTCAGCCAGGCCTCCGATCGCCCCCAACTTACCACACACCCACATCTAACAGTAGCAACGGTGTGAGTTTAAAAATCGGCTTCGATGATGGAACACTGAAATACGACTAGAACATGTTATTACTGGATTGCTGATGTTGAATCAGGCTTTATAGGTAAAGATTTTGCAGGAAAAATCCTCTAAACTGAAAACAAACACGTCTACGGATTTGTACACGCCAGAGTGAATGGCTTTGACGCCAAAATAGGGAAGTGTTTTAGGTAGGTGAAATTTTAGTAAAGACAAAGTGTAGTTGTGCGCCATAAACGGAGTTAAGAGGAGATATAGCAACTCAATTCGTGGGATGGTCTGTAGCGTGGCTGCACGTGGTCTCGTCACCAATTCATTTCGTTGCTTGCTGATAATAGCAAATGATCAAAAGAGCCATGCAGTTTTCGATATAACTCGCCGCAACGAACTTGTGGCAACTTGCGAAATGCAAGTGTTTATCTGTATGCATCCATTATAAAGCATCAGCCTAGCAATACAGTGCTCTTTCACCCTTCTCCTCCTCCACATCCTCAAATCCCTATTACTTTCCTGCCTTTGTGAACCCGCCAGCAGTTCATGATACTTGGTGGGTTCAACCTGAAGAGTTAGATTCCAACTTCTCCGCTCTACAAACTCTAAGGTTTTGCTCAGCTTCAAAGCTGCAGCACCTTTTCCTATACCTTCATTTGTGGTGTTTGCAGGGGGGAGCACCACGCCTCCCCTCTTCACTACGGTTCGGCGATAGCAGTACTTACCGCCTAAAAAAGACTTCAGCAATCTGATTCTGCTGTAAAATCATTCGCCTTAAAGGTACATGCGCACGCTGATAAGGGAAAAGCCTCCATTCTTGACCATGAAGCATTACATATGACTACTACGCAGTTAAATTATTCAAAAATAACGTGTCAAAGGCCAGGTGGCAAATGACAGTTTAAAAATGACGAGCAACTTTCACTAATGCTTCATGTACGTAATAATAAAACAATTTGTACATACCTACACCAAATAGAAACAAAATTCATAAAATAAAAACCTAGCAAATAGGTGACACCTGCAGGCGCCAGTAGATGACAAAAGGAAGACGGACGGAAGAACAAACGATAATCTTCAGACAATAGCTTTTTTGTTCTCCACCTCCATTACGTGTACTATTCAAACGCGCCATTTTTAGGCTGTTTATGAGTTTGTAAAAAAAATGGAGTTGCAATGCAACCATCGCTAAGCGGACGAATATACCATGGGTTACCTCCACACCATTTACTCACTGGCCTACACTCCAAAGAAAGACATCACCTCAGCCCCAGAACTCTACGCCCGCTTCTACGTGTGTGTGGTGGACTGGGGACACAACTGTTCACTATGAAGTTCTCCCTGCACACCACACCAATGCAAACAATTACAACTGAGACCCATCTACCTCCTCAGCACGATGCAACTCAAACATACGCTATAAAAATTTATTTTTCCTCGTCCTCCTCAAAAACAGGCGGACCTTGAGCTAGTCAGTCAATCAGTGAGAAGAAAGTCCGCTTCCATCCACCTTCTTACAAGACAGTCAAGATCTCGTACCTCATACCCCACCTCATGGCTCATCACAAAGCTTAGTCATGAGAAGATCTCCACTCTTGGGGTGTGAGAACGAGGAGGAGGACGATATCGACTCATTCTCATCCGCCCCAGTGACGAAGTTCCTCCAAGACCCCATCGCTTTCCCTCGGCATCAGCAATAGACAATTGCATGCCAGGTAGAATAGATAGCTGGGCAATAAAGGGACGATTAAAGCAAAAGTTGTTACGAATGGTCTTTGCTAGGCTTCTAGAAGCAAACCCTCCTCTTAAAAATGCATTCTCGGCAGGCCTGTGCCACAATGAGAAAAGATTACGAATTGTAACGGATGTAACAAATAGGGCATTGTATAAAGCTTTCCACAATCATTTGGTTACTCTATGGACGGCTGTATTTTCGGCTAATCACCATTCAATTGTTTACCAACCTCTCATCAAACCCCATAATTCTGAGAATACAGCCAAGCCACAACGGCATAGGGCTCGCTTTGATCAACCTAGGAACTTGGAAAAAAAACATGAAAACTTCTGTAGATTGTAGAGGAATGCATTGGATGCCTCATCATAAGTGCGTTTAACTCTTGCCTTTTCTGTATTTATTCCAGAAGAATTAACATTGAGGAGGAGGACACGTCAAGTGCCACGAAGACAGCGCCAAACTATGGCACCAAATGTCAGGGGACAGATTTTAATGAAAGAGCCTTATTGTTAATTAGAGACAGCAATCAAGAGGCTGTTCATTCAAACTTCCGACAAAAAAGTAACAAAAAAAGCAGTGGAGACGAGATACACTCCACCCCGAACTAAGCTATATCAGCCAAAAAAAACAATAGTAACCGATACACATTATGACTTACGGTGTTTCAATTAACAATAGAAAAACTGACCTCGATCAAACTGTATGCCACTGTCGAAGCGTGAGAAGAGGCGATAGCGCTGAGCCCAGTACTTCTCCACAGAGGAAGCAGTCTCCCCCCCGTCCTCGTATAAATGCTCCGGTGGCGATTTTTGATTTACGTACCTGCGAGAGGACGCGGCGCAGGAGGGCTTGTAGCGGAAGATGCAACGATGTCCGGAAGATAGGGACGCTGATAGGAAGAGAGGGGGAGACGGAGATGAATAGACTATGAAAAAGTGTAACGGATGCAGTACGCACGTCGTAACCACTGCCACAGCCGTATTGAGAATTACGATGACTGAGTTAAAAGGCATAGACTAAATTTTACGAATTATCCAAGGTAGAAAGCAATAAATGCACAGGAATCTCAGGCGGTTTCGCCTGACCTGGCCTCCAAGGTGGCGGTAGCAGTAGACACCAGTGCCAGCTGCAATCACAACCGATAAGACATCAAACAATAATCCTAGGCGAGCATTAAAGTGCACAATTATCTTGCCTCCATAGCCAGAAAAAAAGATATTTAAACAATCGCGAGCCATCTCACAAAAGGGAATAATTAACTTCGTTCAAAAATTAGGAGTATGATGACCGAGGTATGGAGGGAGGATTTGGTGTCTGTACAAGGACCATTGGAATGGGCGGTTTAGATGAGTAAATGAATGGAGTGGTGGAAGAGAGGCGCCGAAGAGAAGTATCACTAAGCAAATACAATTCGACTCGATAAGCTCGAGTAAAAATTGAACCAGGATATTGCTGATCAAAAAGGACTGCCTTCCAAAAAGGTGCATTTGGAGGTACCTAACCCGTCCTTTCAGAAACGCCGCTGCACACAATACCAAAAAAGATCTAAGCGTAGAAAGTTAAGGAGTTCAATTTTAAGTAGAAAAGATATCAACTCGCGTCGGTTTTATTTAGTTTAAGATAGATATTTGAAGAGCACTCTTGATGGGTTCCACTGATTTCTGAAGTTTTATTAATAAGGTAGTGGGTAGAAAATATGCATGCGACAATATTTTAGTACTCCCAATCTTCTTATAATACACTAGAAAGCATGTTCCGGCCTAACTACTCCCTCATCTACTATACTTCAACACTACGGATTGGAAACTCGCATCTGGCTGAACAAAGACTGGACGAGTTAGCAGTGGATGTTAATCCTACAGCAAGGCAAGTCACATGATCCCTCGGGTATGAGATGGGGGGAAAAAGGCCGTTCCGACAAAAACACCCCCATGAGAGTTAACTTTTACAAATGCACGAAGATTGCCAATCAACACTCGCATTGAGAGTTCACAACAATTCGCCCTGCCTAATTAACGGGACGTAGTGAATGAGAGCAATGCATTGCTCAATTGAATTCAGATTCAGAAGTGATTTCCACTCGGTTACGCCTCGCCCAGAATAGAGCCTTTAGGCATAGGATAGGGTGAATACGAAAAAGCTTTTTAAAATACGGATTAAAGGCACATCAGCGTTAAATGCAACCAACACAAAAACAAGCTCAACAGAACACTTCGACAGATGCAGTTTTTTGTATGAAGCTCCACTAAATAAAACACATAAACAGGCAAATGTCAAGTGCGGGTATTACCAAGATCTCACAAAGAGCAGTAGGAAAGGAGCTCTAAAAGGCTGTAATTAGACAGCACGCGAGAATGTCGTTAAGTTGGTACCCTTAGACATGATTATTAAGATAAAAACACACGAAGCACCAGTAATTTGAAGGTAATTGGTCTCCGGAAGTCAAATGGTGGCTTGAAATGGATTACCTACACATCGTTTACGGCTTAGTGGGCAAAATACATCAGTATCTGGAGGGTAAGTTCTCCGTCAACCAAATAAAAGTCAACTTCATTGTGCAAATGGTTGAAAGCAAACAAATGAGGCTCAAGATGCACCAATATTTGTGATAAAGGTCCATCCATATCTAGAAACTTCAGATTTCTTCATCATGAGTTCCACCAAAGGTGTGATGGACTCCTTGCAGCGAGTGACACAAAGCGTAATTGTAAAGGGCATTATAAAAAAAATACTTATGTAATGCTTCAAAGTACTGCTTTAAAACATCGACAGAAGGTAAAAAGCAACAAAAACCCATTTTAAAGTGAATAAAATTGAATCTACTGATGTAGCCAAACTGCTATCAATACTACCATTCAAGTGAAAAGAAGGGGCTCACATTGAATTGCCCATTTCACAGCCCTTGGAGAAGCCTCACTCCAGGAGTCCGGGAGTTGGAAACGCAAATTTCTTGGAATTTGAACCCTAAAAGATTGTGAATAAATAAGGGACGTAACAAGCCCGCATATGCACTAAATACATAGTAATCGCATAAAGAACCGAAGGAACAGAGTGGACGTTTGGGAAGGGCTTACCACGGCTGATTCGGACAAAAGCCGTACTCGATGACACGACAAACAGCTGCGAAAATGCACTGCGTTTCTAGGGTGAGGTTGTCGTCGTATCCACTATGTGGAAACAGAGGAAGCGAGGCTGCTGAAAGAACAAGGGATGGATGTTCTGAGGACACAATACAAAAATACTTGTGAGTTCATAAAAGCACGGCTGCCAGCCAAATAAAGGAATATAAGGAAACATATCTAGCAGATCTGAAAATTTGTGATAAACCAATAAATGGATGAAGGAGAAGCAACAGGAACTCGTGATGCAAGTGAAATTTCGTATTCAGGGCCATCAAGTCGCAATACCCTTATACTAAAGCAACAAAACTGAAGCCTTGCACGTGATTTGATAGCCTCAAAACAATAAACATGATACAGATGGGATGACAAAATTTTGTAACAAACTACATTTTCGTTAGATGAGAGCAGATTAAATGGAGGTTAAAAGTCATACAAATTCACCTCTTCAAAAACGTGGCGAATAACAGGACAATGGAAATCAGACAAGGATATCCAATAATTACGTTGCTTACTGATAATAACTTAAATTAACAAGATATTAGACGGTGTCAGAAAATAAGTTTTAAATACATCTACTCATGCAATCAAAAAATGGAGGTCCAAGCACTTCCGTTGTAAAAAAGTGACATCTATCACGAAAGCCTGATACTGTTTTCAAAGACACCTACGCATCTTGAGGTAAATTGTGAGGCCTATATATCCATTCCCGATATACGTACAACAAGAAATCGGTATGATAAATAGAGAAAATTCAAAAATGTGCATAGTATTATTGAGAACCAAATTGTGCATAGGAAAAAGTACTATTCTGACGAGAAAAAAGAACTTAATAACGACAAATGTATGCGCTCACCCTTACAAATATCGGTGAGACTATGAGCGAGCCACTGTGATTCTTTGACATTTTCGAGCGAGTTCAAAAACAGCGCGTCCAGGTCAGTAGTGGACTGATCTCTACAAGCAAACTGTAGACATTAACACTTAAATATTTGCTACTGAAATATATCAGTAGAACTTCACCGTCCGTGTTGACTCCTAGCTGCCACGGTCCTAATACCACTGTAAGAAAAAATAAACACGCACTACTTCAACAAACCCAAATTTAGGATGTCCAAAACTTGTAGGAAGCCCAAGCATTCGCATTTCCTCAAAAATCGACTTATTATTCCCTTGATCTTCCAATTCTGGAGAGGGTTTGGAGACCTGCACTTGTGGAATTACATACTTAGGACTGTAATCTTGTTTCTCCTGCAGGGATGGTGAGGAAGAAGACTCCGAATCACTATCGTCCGAGTCATTTCCACTACTTTTCAACACGGATAATGTGTATGCTAATGAGTTGTAATATCTTGGGGACACTTTTGCTGATCTGCCCTTCACTACAAAATTAATGCATAAAGGGAGGCGAAAAGGGTTAAACAAACCAGATGAATTTGGTTTCGCAGCAATAGAGGATGACTCTGCATCTTCAGGAATGGATTCAGCAACTATCGGTGAGGATAAACTTTGGTTACTCTCGATGGCCCCACAAGGTTCGGTCGGCATACCCTTGAAACAATCCCTTAAAAAGGGGTGTTACTAAAAGTTGCAACATCCGTACGCAAAAAAAGCACGAGTAAAGCATATTTGAGTCAGTAGTTTGTTAAAAACGGATGGGTAAGTGATGCGAACCAACTCCTTTACATGGTTCGTATCAAACGCCATTGTGCCCAGTTTTCCTACCTAAAAATTAAAAGGCGTCGGTGGAGTCAAAAATAACATTAGTTAATGTTGATAGTCACGTTGTTTCCAGCGGACAAGGTAAAGGCAAAAAGTGTGATTAAATAGATGTCGTGAAGAAAAATGTTATACATGTTCAGCATAAAACTATTCCATAAATGATCGAAAGATGTGACCCAAAAGACTGACAAGAGTCACCTTGGTTCTTTTAAGAAAAAATAGCGTATGTAATGATCATAGGAATGGACAGATAAAAGGCAATTTTGAGCTACTCTGGGCGAGTTATTCTTAAGTGATTGTGAAAATTTGCGGTCGCTAATGAGAAAAGATCGATGTCCAAACAGGCCTATCTATTAGAAGGAAGTAACGAAACGCCACACAACGATATGGGCTACTCCACTGTAAAGCTAAATCAAAACAAAAAAGATAGGAACTAAAACAAGATCACCCAAACCCATAGATAACCACAATGTACCTTGATGTAATGTTGTATAATGCTTTTGATATAACTCCTTCAGAGGTCAACGAGGCGGCCAACAAAAATCAGATATATTAAAACCGCCCAATTAAAAAGCCAAAGAAATTGAAAAATTGCACTTAAGGTAAACACGTAATGACTGCATGGGAAATACATAGATGTGGTTAATTCTACTTACACCATCGAGTTCGCACTACCTATTTGTTGCTATCTGAAATACCACAATTTCTCGGCATTTAATAAATCATACAGGTGCTAACGGTATTTCAAGCATGATAAAATTGCAATAGCATATCAAGTAAAAACACGCAGGGAGGTGCAGTAGCATCACAATGTTGGTATTACAACCACAATGCGAATGAATAACGGATATGGAAATGCAATAAAGGGAGGTAGATGAATTGAACAACGAGTGTACATTTGACTACCACAAGAGAAAAGCCCAACCCACCACAGAGTCAATTATACAATCTGCCCGTCAAGAAGGGCACAATTAGTTTCAGATTAAACAAACCAGTGTGACCGATAATCTGGTTACGCGCATCATGACGCAGTTTGATCCAAATAAACTTAAAAAGTAGCAGTGTTCTTAGTTTGTTTTTATATAAGGACTTCAACAAGACCAATTTTATGTTATTTGCAATAAGTTGCGTCAAAATGGTCATTAATTAAGGGCTTTGGTATAAAATATGTTAACTATTAAAAAATCATGTGTAAACATTATTTACTGTAGAAGTCTCGAGCTTATGCAAATGTCGGCACCAAAGCGAGTCAGTTTTTCACTGCCCTTGGAAGGCAGGATTCCTACTTGAATATGGAATTACTAAGGAGCGCAAACAATATTTACTCTTTGTTGCGCAACAATCTTACTTTTGGCATATTTGAAAGCCGTGAAAAAAGTCACAAAAGAGGGTTATTCCCCGACCAATTTTAACCGATCCTGGTTTCCACTATTCAACCTCTGGTTTCATACCCTTTGAAAGAGAATAATGTGCATAGGAGGATATGTTTTATTTGAGCAGTAATGTTGGGGCATGTAGGTTATCTAGACTTTAAAGAGAATTGGAATTTGTGTCCTCCTCAGTGGTCTAAGGTATCTGTTCTGTTACGTAGGTGTCGTACACCGATCGCTTGTGTTTTAAAAAAAACATATTTAGACGAACGCAGATTACACTGTCAAATACCCTCGCTTATTTGCCCAAGTTACCTACCAAAATGGATAAATATACATATTAGATTAACAAAAGCATGGAACTGAATGAAGATAATTTTCATTAGTTCCAGTGGTCACCCTCTTTACACACATGAAAAATGCAAAGAAGGTGATTTTTAAATCTGCTTTAAAATCACAACGTACTTTTCATTATCCACTCTGCTATATTCACTTACTTCTCATCGATAGGACTGGTAAAATCATTCCACTTTCACACCTCATCTTTTCTTACCTTCTAGCCCCCACCAACTCCCAGGCCGGTATTCGGCATAACTTCAGCGGTTTTGGCAGGCAAACCAATAAGAAAGAACATCGACCTTGATTTGTTGACAGTAAATGATCTTTTAACACCACAACAGGTAGAAATCTACAATAAATTACTAAATATTACGATAGGAGCACTATCAAAGACATGTAGAGCTTTGCCAATCAACTTAGTCGCGTGTGTTGTGCCTTATATAAAAAAATAAAAAAAAACCTAGCAAAATAGTCGCTTACACTATTTATTTAGCATCATTGGAATGCAAACGGTTTTAAAAAAACTAAAAAAGTTACATGGGTGAGTGGTCAATATTTAAATGGTTAAAGCAAAATTATACTGTAGCACACATAAGTGGGCTAAAATGTATGAGGCTTCTATATCAATGGTTATACTTTTAGGCGACTGTCCTTAAGCATTGCCAGAAGCCCAGAGAAGTGGTCAATGTCGATAAAAATGCGGCTTTGAGAAGCTCGAGTTGGAAGGATACCCGCAAGTTATAAGAGGTGAACACAGCGAAATATCTTAAGACAGATTGTTTAACTTGATGGAGAACTACCTCATTACATGTATTTTTTGTCTCACGGATAATTTTACCACAGCGAACTATTACGGGAGAGCGACCGCGACCAGCACCGAGAAGACTCCTCCAACGAAGATAGCCAGATGTCAAGTTAAGTTTGAGCTGCATGCTAAATCTTATCAGCTTATCAATTCTGCAATGATTTGGGGAATGCCCACGTTGTATAGTTTGTTTGTTTCTCAACGCTTTCCGAAGGTATTGGGCTACGCTATTTTCGCCCGAGAAGGTCACATGAAAGGATTTCGTCAAACAACTACTTAGCTTTATTTTCTGGCTCATAGGAAACTTTTCACCCTTCAATTTGTACTTTTAAAGACACCTATATCCTATGCAGTTAATCGGTGAGGCACCTAAAGCTCTTCTGTACTTTAAAGAAGACTATTCGGTAAACTTTGTGTTCCCATTGGCGTTATTGTCCCCTTCAGTACGAGGATCCTCACCCTCCAAAGCAAACGTTTCTTGCTCTATGCAACACTCACCCTCAATTCGACATGTTGTGGCATGTACTTGCCAGTCTTTACTATCCAAGGGCTTAAAACCAGAAATTAACTAGAGAAGAAATATGGCCTTTACAGGTCCAAAAGGTTTGGCTTCTCAAAATTCATGATACGGGGCAGGGACAATGGCCAGCCGCATGCTTGGTGTCACATGGGCGCAATTGGGTACCTCACCAGAGTTAGATTGACTTCGCCGCTTTTCATTCACTCAACACACGTATCAGCCCCCGAAGCCTCAGTCTAGAACCCCGTACGACGAATATGCCAGCAGTGACGAGGAATAACTTGCAGCATTAAGTAGTAGCGCTTTAGCCTTAAAAATTTAAGGTCAATTTTGCAATTTGGAGTAATGGTGATTTGTCCAAAACCTATATTGACGCATGTTGAAAAAGCAAAACACTTTGATCCCAAAGTTAAAAAGTGATTGTGAAAAGAAATATCCGCCGAAGCCTATTGCACTACTATGCAAATCATCGAGCAAAAGCCTACAAATGCTGAGAAAACTGATTGTCGTTTGGGCCTTAAGCTGTGGAAGGATGACCCAATTTATAATGCATCTCTGTTAGAGCGTAGGCTTTTGTTAGCACAATTTGTCATATAAATCTAAGGAAGCTAAAATATGGGAATTATTACGACAATTAGACATACGTATTTGGCTCTGCAGGTTCTACTTTTAAAGGCCTAAATAGAGGAAGATAGAATAAACCACTGCCAAATTTTTGCCGCTGCTTGGTTTATAGACTGCGCACCCATACTGGCAATTGCTGTCCATGAATTTTTTTTAAGAACAATATAAGTTGTGGCAGGACTTAGTTGAAGTAATTGGAACAGCGTTCCTTATTTGAGCACTATCACATTTGAAGTATTAAAAATGACAGGTCAGCTTCCATTTTTCATTTATGCCTGTTTTTATTAGTCAAGGCAGTTGCATATTTATTGTTTCAATGTGCTAATTTTATATGTGTAATCGCTTTGCTCCCCCCTCCTCCGAAGCATATATCGTAGTTGTCACATTCTAATTTATTGCTCGAGTATACGGTGCTCAAAAAAATTTTGCACGGATTAAAAGCGTTTTGCTCTTTTTCGGCTTGCCTATAAAAATAGGGTTTTTGGTGTAATTCGTTGAATTTATTTTTCCAGACCATTATTTGTCTATTTACACAATAAAATTTTTTCTCCTGCTCCACCCCCCATTATGGAGGAACAGTTATGCAGCTCAATGGACCTGGCTGCCGAAAACTTTTTCAAGACCACTTCTTTTTATAAGTTTGCAATGGAAACCGGTTCTGAACCGGCTCCGTTTGATCTGTTTAGACATGTTGAGAAAAGTGAAAATTTGAACTTCGCTTCTCATCAGATTGTGGAGGTTGACCTGACAGTTTTGTCCGATAAGCCGACTAAAAATATCTCCAAAGGCGTTTACTTTTGGCCTTGTGAAATAATGTGTGCCACTGGAGTTGCAATTAAACTCAGGTGGTGTTGCCCATCAGAAAAAAATGCTTCAGAATCGACAATAAATGTGGAGGAAGATCACCAAAATCATTCCTTCTGGATGCTGTTCAGCGATTTATTCTGGGAATCAGTACATCCAATCGGATGGGCCGATTCACATGGAGGCTCATGGATTTATCCTTCGCAAATATCGGTTATTGAGGCGCCTCGTCCTCTACCAAACAAAAAACCAAGACTTTGCTATTCCACCGTCAGTCCTGGATTCATGCAGAAAACTACGTCACTTTCTATTCCAAAAATTATTTTTGATAAAAGAGCGGTATTTTTGCGCGATATTGTGAATGTTGGCGACTATCTTGAGTGCAAGTCGCTCTCTGATCCCTCTTCAGTGTGGCCTGTCCGGATTCTAAAAAAATACGGTGGACGCCTTGTTGTCTCATGGCTGGGGATCGATGTAGAATTTGTAGCCTCCCGCAAGGCTTATGTCTGCCGTAACGTCATAAATGACAAATGTGTGGATAATCCAGTGTTTTCTATTTTCATGTGGGATCCTCGGATTCGTCTTCTGGGTTGGAGCTTGTCACACTCTTTGGTGTACAAGCCGCCTCATGGACTCGCAATTCCCTCAATAGAAATCACTTCAGATTCCATAAATTCTCTCTCGCCCATTAACGGCGTAGCTCCCTGGAAGGGTCTCTTTTTGTTCGCTCCTGAACCTCCAAAGCACACTTTCGTTGTGGGCTCTAAACTCGAGGCGTTCGATAACCTAAGACCTGAAGGTGCACGACCAGCCACCGTCACAAAGATTCTTTCCGACCGGTACTTTGTTGTACGTTTTGATGCTCTTCCTGCAGACAATTCAACAACGCTTACGGAACCGCGAGAGTTCATAGGGCATGTGGGCATGCCTCAAATAATGCCTCCAAAAATGTGTGAATATTATGGACTTCGGCTGCTTCCTCCTGAGAACTGGCCTTCTAATGAACCCTTTTGCTGGCATGTTTACGCCCTCATGTTGTTAAAGCTGTCTACTACTTCTTCAAGTCTACCTCCTTATTTAAAATTAACGAACGATTCCTATCAATCGCTCATAAGGCATCTGTCTGTTTCAATTGATCAGTTCTTTACTACAGCTTCTCCGAGATCGAAGAATCCTCAAGAATTTCAGCTTGATACTTATTCACCTTTGCAAAACGTAGGCGCTTTTGGCACAGCTCGTTCCCGACGCTTGAAGGCTAATTCAACTGATAATTCGGGTCTATGGGTATCGAGGGACTTTTGTCCTGGCATGAAACTTGAATTAGCTCTTCCTTCCTTTATGTGGAAAAGCATCCACTTGACACAGAGTGGCGATCTTGAATTCCACGAAAGTCCCATTTGTACAGCCACTGTGATACGCTGTCAGGCAGGTCTGCTTTGGCTCCTACCTGATCTCCCTGAGAACTGGAGTCCTCATGTCTCTCCAGAGCATCCCAAAAACAAGCCTGTTGTGATAGAATCATCCTCCACATCTCTCTACCCTCTAGGCTGGAGCCGGGCCAATGGTCATCCCTTTGTTCCCCCTGCTTCCTATCTACACCCTACTCCCTCGCATTTAAATGACCCTCTGATTTGGCGAAATTCCACTGGACCGAAGCGGTCGTTCCTACAGATCGCGGGAATTGCCGAGATTAAGACTTTGTACGCTAGAGCTGAGGTCTGTCCTCACATATACCTAAACGCCTCGTGCTATACCGGGCCACACATCCTTAAGGTGAGCCCTCTTCTCCTACTTTTCACTTCTTTTCCTCTCTACTTATTTTTATTAGTAAAAGCGTTGCCGCAACATAAATGGACATCACCATTTCATGTTTCCCAATTCTTATTTAATTTTTCTGCCGTTGTCAAGTTGTTCCATTCCTTATTTATATCCCCCGCTAGTGTGTTTCTGATTAAAATTAAATAGCTGATTTACTGAACTCAATGTGCGCTGTTTCTACCTTAACCAGTCGAAATTAGAATCGTTGCCGCGGATGTTTGGTCCAGGACCTGTAGAACGCACCCTGGTTGCGATGCTCTTTCGTCTGGCCGGTGTTATTGACAAGCCGGTTCGAGTGCTGCGTGGTCTGGAGGCTAATTGGGTGGCCAAGCTCTCCAATAATGTGTGTAGCATCAACTGGAAACGACGCAGGGAAGCCATGAGGTCGGAGGGCCTGAGGCGCTGGCATTCAGACATGGGACTCACCGCCGTCCGCGTTCGGTGTCCTCGCAAGGGCACCTATCTCCCTTTGCCATTCGAAGTTTGCACTCGGGCACGTGCTGTCGACGAGTTCTGTCGACAGGTGACTCTTCATTCTACACTAGCAACGTTTCATTCGATAGCTATTACATAGCGTTGTTGTTCTCCTTCGCCTAGATATGTATTGGACTTGGGGCCTGTCCCTTTCTGCTGAGTACGCGTCGACTAGATGCTGCAGAGGGCTGTCCCCTCAAATGTAATGATCTTATCAGGCCTCATCGTGTGTCTCGCGAAAATTCTACCCCAATGGTCCTCATAACCGATGATACGATTGTCTCTACGGCCTGCCTTCTCAACACAGAAATGCGTATTTCGAGGGGCAACAGCCGTCGTCCGCTGGTCGTTTCCTCGAGACTTCTCACGTCACGGTCGCTATTGCCCTCACTACTGTATAACTGGAATCCAATTACCTCAGATCAGGACGGTGATACCTCAGGGGGAAGGGGTACAAGAGCGTTGAAACGACCCAGAGGTCGAAGGGTGCCCCCACGAACCGCAAATCGTACAATTAATCCGAGGATGAACCGAAATAATCAATTTTATTTGCTTCTAAATGGGAATACTCCCCTTTTACAGGTAAATACCTCTGTCAAGTTCAAATTCATTAGCCTTGCTGTTTGGTATGTCGTGTACCTCTCTGTGTGCAGAGTGTGGAGGTACCAACGTTAACTAGCGATCCCATTAAATGGAGCCCCTTGGATTTGGCGGCTTACTTAAAGACAACCGAGTGCAAAGACCTCTCGTCTTGGCTGGCATCGCAGGCTGTGGACGGTCAATCCTTCATGCTCCTCCCTCCCGCCCACGAGCTACACTCCAAAATGGGTCTTCCATGGGAGTTGGCAGTTAAAATAGCCCAACATGCTGACCGTCTTCGGCTGGCCTATATGAAGCAGTACTACAAAAACCCCTCATAATGGCTAGTTAGCCTCGTCCTGCTGAACTCCTTCCCCTGTGTATAGATTGTATTTTCTCTCCTTTCTCCATTCAGTGTACAGAGATATGTATGCGGTAGAAGTGGTATGAATGTGCTTACTGGCAACGCTACCTCCTCCTCCCATCTCCTTCCAAATAAATTAGGAATCAGTGTACTCTTCTTCCTTTTCCTCCTCCCTTCATTATTGATGTGATGTAGCCATCTATCAAGTTCTCCCGAAATAAATTCCTCATCAGTCATCAGGTGATTTGGGGGCACTGAAAGTGGTTCTGGCATTTGTGATGACTTAACCCCTGGGGTATGCACCTTAGCGGTAAGTCCGCTTTCCCGTATGACTAGACATGGCCATGGCTAGAGATTGGTGGGAGTCCGCCCAGAAGGAGTGTCCAGTTTTACCCATTGACAGGGCTGAGTCCAATTACTCTGCCTCCGTACTGTCGACCATAATCAAGATGTACAGCTTTCAACACAGCTTTGGGGTCTAATCCGCCGGGTAAAACGCTTGCACTGTCAAGGTGGACTGCTGTGGGATGCCACACGTGCGTTCGGTAATTACCAGGGGGCTCGGGTTAAATGCCCCACAAATCGATACAGCGGGCCGGCCCTCACGCGAAGGGCAAAGTTGATAGATAAAAAGAGGAACTAATGTATCGAGAATCTTATCAATCAGGATTGTTGTCAATCTTTTATAGTGTTGGTCAGAAGCCTCTCCTCAATTGGAAGGCTTGCTGTCAGTCGGGGAGTATCAAGAGGCTGACAGACTCAGCCATTCGGTCCATCGTTCTTGATATTCGTGGAAATAATGTCAGCACCACGTACATTGAGTGCCCTGCCTGTGAGAATGAGACTCTGGGCATTCGAATGCCCGTCTTTGTGGTCCTATTCAAGAATATGAACCGCTTCTTCTCCTTCCAAATAGAAACTCTCGACTACAGTGGCTTTCCGCGACGATTTCGAGCCAGCAACTCGACAAAGAACACGCTCATTCGTCAGTTCTGCACCAACATGCCGCTGTTTCTGCATCCGGGTTGGAACACCGTGGTGTTTGATCTGAATCGTCTGATGGAGTACTGTTATAAGCAACGTCTGCGCGAAGTCACACGTGTTAGAATCAACGCAAACTGTCGCCTACGACGAGTCTACTTTTGTGATCGTGCCTACGGGGAGGAGGAGACGCCGAAAGACTACAAACTGCAGGTTTTGCATGGGTAGTGGAGAGCCACCAACCCCTTCATCCCCAATTCACATCTGTATGCCTGCATAACAAAGAAACGCCTTTCTAGCGATTCCACTTTTTGTACCTGCTTTTAAATTAAAACTCACGGTTTTTACTAGTCAGCTGCTAGAAACTCCGAAATTCTGCTAATAGCTTTTAAGAGCTGTGTTGCTTATTGACACATTTCCTGGAAAAATCCTTAACAAAACAATATTTAATTGCTCTTGTCAAGGCCTTAATTTTCTCAACGCTTTATTTGCTGTTTAAGGTAGCTGCTATCGTACTTGAGGTCTTTTCAACAAAGGAAACTCCTTGTGCGTTTTGCTATTCCCCTCTGATCAGTCCAATTTTCCTCTATGTTAAAACAAAAATGCCATGAGTTTGGGAATCTACTCAAGCCATAGCACGCTGTATCGCAAAACGGAGGGAATCTACAAACAAAGGCTTTCCAGTTGCCATATTTCATACGAATTTCCACACTCAACAAAACGTAGACCAATAACAACTATAGTAGGCGTCATCCGTTTGTAAAAAAACGATTCCTGTTTTTTTTTTCACTCATGGGTAGACTGTGAGATGTGAAAATGTTGGCGAAATTGCCTCGTATTAATCCTACTCAAAATGGCCTTAACTGAAGCATGAAGGCGCCTGGATTCACATGTGTGCTTTAATTAGGGGTCATAAACAGTAAGGCAAGCGCCTAAAAGCAGTCCAGTAGGCGCAAATACTGGCGCTAGGTTTATTGAATTACCGCCGGTGGAAATTCCACTTTCCGGGATTTATTGAGATTTCACACAACTACCCACAAATCGGGGACAAATTAATCGTGGGAGCTTGCAAAGTACTCATTAAATTAGCATACATTGTTGGTTTTATTGCGTATTTGAAGGCATTTGGGGATATTTAATGAAGGCGGTTGGAGCTACTTTCTCAATCCATGTTTGAGCGAGTAAGAGTATAAATTCATCATGGAACGCAAACTTACATGGTCAATAATTCCGCTAAATTGGTGAGAAACCGACTATATCAGTAGGTCTATTAAGTATCCCTAAGACACCACTAGTTTCTCCAGATTTTGGCAAACATGATTCACACTTTGAAAGAGATCTGTGACGCTGGATATAAATAGCCACCGTGATATAATACTACTCGCTATTGTAAGTAGCAAGTTTATTTACGGTAAAGTCGAGAAGTTCTGCGTTGGGTTTCATAGAAAAAAAGGCAAAAAAAGCAAAACCTAAGGAAGCTTGCAAGTAGGGCAGACAGGCATTACTCCAGCCAAGAAAATCAAGCACTACCTGGGGCAAAATCGTGGAGAGACCACTCAAAACTATGGCCTAGCAAAATAAGTTTATCACAGCGAAAGTTGAGGGGGTTTGAATCTAAAATTAAAAGGCTCTGGAATAAATGAGATGCTAGATTTAAATCTTGGCACCATCAGAAGCAGAATGCTTAAGGTCCGTTTGACGAGCCAGCCGAAAACAAATTCGTACGCCATCCACTGGTATTCCCGACCCTTTTAATTGGATAGTTTTTCATGATATTGAATAGGGTAGCGAACTAGTTGGCATAGTTTATTGAAGCCAACCGATATGATGAAAGCTGAAGCCTTTAAGACCAGCATAGAAAAATGCTTTTGATATAGTACGTGCATTGACTGATTTTTCACAGTCGTTTTAAGAGTTTCGAAAGTATTTAATAGGTAGGTTATTATTCGAACGTAGAACCAATGCATACATAACCGCTTTTTCGAAAGGCAAAGCTAAATACTGAAAACTCTATAATCTTAGATATCTTTCACACGATGAATAAGTAAAATAGAAAACACATCTCTTGCATAACAATAACAAAATTGCGTGATACACCGTTCGTTAAGTCTTTAATGGGTTTGATAAAATATTTTAAAAATAAATAATAGCAAAGTTTTTAAAAATAATTTTGTTAGAATCCATCATAAGATTTGCAGTAAGTCGGTGCACTTTTGCGTACAACCAACACTCTCTACAACTCTTCCTGATCTCGTGGATGGCAGAGGTTCCAAGGGAAGAATGTTTGTGGTAGAAATGACGACTAGGCGGAAATTGTTATAGGAGAACAACTACTTTGTAATTGTAGGAATGCATGCACCATTTAATGACATTTGAGCGGAATAAAAATACAACTAAATGTTAAAAATTCATGAGACAACCAAATGAAGCCGGAAGGACCCTTTTTACGGCTAAAATGTGCAAGAATGTGTCAGCATATCGGCATTCAGTCCGACCGATTTCGTTCCCCAATCACGTGGACACACTACCATTCCCTCCATGAAAGTGTCGATCAATGAGAGACTTCAGAATGATTGTGTTCACGAGTACTTTCAAATAGTCTTCCTCTTTCCGACGGATGATTCAAGCACTCGGTTGGACCCACTGTTGAATGAATGCCGATTGCACTTATTTGATTTATTTGAAAGAAGGTAAATTTTGGCACCCACTTGAGGTCAAAGTTTTATTACAGTCAAATAAAAAAACGGGGCAACTTCCTCTTAGTCAGTAATCGTATTTGAAACGGACAAAAAGTAAAATATGCCCGAAGTTCACAGTGACCCGCTCTGTAGGCTTGCGTTACTTATTTATTTGTTATTAGGAATGTGGAAGATTTCATTGGGGTCAAAAATCACTCTATGAACATCAGCTCATAAAATTTGACTGTAGCATGTCGAGATTTTAAATGGGCTGAGAGGCTATCGGCACCGCCTTCGGGCCGTGCCGCTGGGCGTAAGTACAAAGCCGGGAGTTTAACAAATAATTAGCCTACTTCTCTTTGTGAAACAGAAGATTGGAAAGCGTGTTAGTCACGTTTATCTACTTTGAGATGTGAAGGCAGTGGTTTGTCTTCGATGAATAAAGAAAAATTCATCTGCAATACTGGAGAACAAATGTATGAAACGCAGAGATGACCTTTTGGGGGGTGGATTACTTTCCATGAGCTCCAACCGTGTTACCGTGATACATGTGGGGAAAAGCAACAGGCGATATTTGTTTTCCCCCAGGTCATAAAACAGCACGAACTTTCAGCAAATTACCACCCTTTCATAAAAAGAGCAGAAACACGAGAAACATGAGGTGAATTTTCATACAAATTGCACCTCCTACACAAATCAGCAAAAGTTCACTTCCCCTGAATCCTGAAACAAATCACAAGACGACTAAAACACTTACTTTGCGGAGGAAAGGAGCGACATACAAATGTCACCTTCCAATAACCAGATAAATGAACCAGGGAACTAAGCCGACGGTGGCGATGGTGCGGACTTGAACTGATCCAAAGAACGAGGAGAAATGAGCTCAATTTTCTTATCGAATTCCCGAAATCCTTATAGAAATGCCAAATTTTTACAAAATCCATTTTGTGGCGTAGGAGGAAAAAAGAGGAGATAAAGCGAAATCCCTTCATTCAAATCAACTCTTTAAGACGAATGTCGAACTAAATTTATCCCGTGCAAAACGGACTGAAAACGAGAAAAGGAACGGATATCTTCACCATCGTTGTTCTGAGAAGAGGATGACATTAGTGACTCGCCACCAAATTACGCCATAAAAGTGGGGTTGAGCGAAGGCGATTTCCCTAAGCTTATTACATATTGCTTCTTGGAGAATTGGGTAGAAGGGAGAAGTGGATGCACCTCCCCTCGAATCTCAAAACGACAAACTTTCACACAGCTTCCAACCCTCTACAAAGTTAATGAAAGCGAATTTCTTCTCATTAAATCACAAATCCGACAGAAGAGATTATGTTTTCGGAATGCCTTCAAACTACTCAAAGATGACAAACAAATCATGACAACCATTATCCTCTCGAGGTGCAAATAAAAAAGAACTCGATAAAAATGGCTTTTCTTATCAAATTGCTGCTTTTACAAGAGGGATCTAGAGTTCGCCAGGGATACGCCGGCGCCGGAGTTTGCGTATTTGTATGTCGAGAATGTCGTGAGCGGAGCCCCAACCCGGCGCGCCATCTGCGGGGCAGTTGGGCGCGGGATGCCAGGAATTGCGGATGCGGTAGGGATGGTAAAGTACTGGTGGAACACCCTCGCGCAAACGCAGCATCAGTCGTGCGTAATGATAGTTCGACTTCGACACTGTAGTTCGGAGGCCCTTGTGGATTCGCGGGACGCTATCACCTCGCAGTACCAGTGCTTGCTCTGCAGCGCAAACAGGAACAACGGTAATGTTGAACCAAATGAACTAAAAATGAGGTGGTCCCTTGGAAGGGCGAGGAAAATCACCCCAAGTGAAATAGATATCGAAATAGTTGAAGAAAGAGAACCCTACTTTAAAAAAAGCGTCACCAAAGAGCATCACACGCATGTTTAGTATGCAAACTGACCTAGATTAGAAGCCAATAGTTCGAATAAATGGGGCACAGTCGCACAAGGCAAACACGAAATCTGATAATTAGTGATTTAAGACGATATAAATAAAATGAAGACTTACCAACCCACAAATTTGTGCAAAACTCGACGTCGTGTTCTGTAACTGCCCTTTCGATGGCAGCTTCAAGGGCCTAAGGTGAGGCGAGATCAAATAAAGTCCAACAATAATAACTGACAAAGCTACTAGCGATATTACAAGCAATATACCTTTTCGAGGATTCGAGCTCCCTTTTCTGGTCGGAAGCCAAGCTGCTGAAAAGCCTCGTCCACAGACAAGCCACGGATCTGTAGCACAAGCCAAAGATGAATAAATGTTCCGATGAAAATAAAGCAATTATATGCTTAGGAAATCACCATAAAAGCCAGCAACCAGAGCTTTTTTTGGCTATACAAGATATTCTCCTTCGTATAGGTGACTTCAGCAGGCCGAGGTTCAACGGATTCTTCGCCATCAGCTGTAACGGTGGTATTTTCACCTGGAGGATAGACGACTTCGTTGTAGAGTTCCCACAATTTGGTTTTTTTGCCAGTGAGACGAGATGTCATTGCTTGGCCTGATTCAAGACATTTGCCAGTGGAGAACTGGCAAAGATGTTGAGTCTGGAGGGCAGAGGAAACCGCAACCTTCTTTATAAGGGGAAGAGTGGAAATAGAGCGCAGAAGATGTCCACCTTTCGCAAGGGCTGAAATATTCATCCTGGAAATGGGGTCAAAGAAGATAATGCGTGTCAGACTCCCACTAGGCACAAAAAGCACATCTTGAGTCCCCTCCATAATCTTCTCCACACAAGTCGATTTTAACGGATACGCGAAAGGACCTATTGTGTTTTGGGTTAACGGATTTGACCCCCTACGATTGCAAAACTTTGGGTAGGCACAATTTCAAGACAATGGTGACACCAAAGCTAACCATTCTCATACCTAATAAGAGCCTAGTGGGTTGAAGAGTGGTCCGATAACAAACACCAACAGCATTGAGACCCAATTTTTGGAATATCGTAGCACTAAACTAGTGCGGTATGGCGGATTTGAGTGACTCGGGAGAATAATAACATAGTCAAAGTACTTGGTAAATTATAAAGTAATTGTGCAGTAAATATCAGCTTGATATAAAATTTTATTTTTGAGTGTGAAGTGCGCTCATGATGAACGCAAACATTTCAGTCTGAAGAAGAAAGCTAAATGACCTAAAAGTCCTTCTTCATAAATTCGTCCAATTCCCCTTACTCCGATTGCCCAACAGGTATTCCACATCCTTAACTTATAAAAAGGCTTGTGTATCTTTAAAAATATTATATTTGTGTGTTAACTAACAACTTGTTCATTACTATGTGTTGACTAATTGTGCGAAGAAAACAAATATTGCTGTTCTTTTGTAGTGGATTACTAATCATTGTCGCCTATGTGGATCTTTGAGAGTGATTGCTTGCAACCATGTCACTCGTGATTTTTCAGTCTTCTTTATTTTTGTAGATTGGTTGAAATATTGGAGATAATATCTTGGTCGAAACGCCAATCGCGTTAGTGGCACCCACAAAGCTAAGTCGCACTTAACTCTATCCTGGCTTCAAAAATGGGCTGTACATGTCTGCTTACCTGTTACTCTGACCACTTTTGTTAATCAATGTACTAAATACTGCATCCGATTCAGTGCCACCTCGTCACCCACTTCCCCCAGAGGAAATGGTAAGGAATTGGTTGTGATTTTCTTATAGATTTACGCAAGACCTAGCGAGCTGCTAACAAAATCAATGTAGAAAGGATGTAGCGAAGTCAAAATCGGAACGGAAACACTGCAGTGAGGAGGCCTTGTGGCTAAACACAGAAGTGACTACCCAGCAGAAGTTTCAAGTATTATGCTGGGTCTTCAACACAGTACTGTGATTTTTAGTACGGGTTACTCGCCAGAAGCAGTCAAGTCCTACATTTGGAAACCCGCAACCCGATCGCAGAAACTGTGGCGCAACCAAGGGACACTCGGGCCTACAAACCCAATTACCTTGAATTAGTGACCTTCACAAACTTTATTGTTAAAGTACATGTAGAACTTCTGAGGGCACCTATGGCAGTTACCTAGCAATTCTATTTCACCTGTCCTCATACGATTCTGCTCAGGATCTGCACCGCCTGAGCAGAATCCTTTCCTGTCAACAATCAAATGCCTACTTTGGTGATTGCTTTTAATTCTGTGCGCTCCGATTGTTTGGATGGTTTTGGCAAAAATAACCACCATAATTGCATTGAGATAATGGCGCCACTTTGAGGCCACACACACCTCCACCTTAGCATGAGCATACTGCATAAATAATATGGGTAGAAGAACGCAACCTGGTGTATTTTTTCTCCGCAGCAATACAAAATGCAAGGTGCTTTCTATACACTGAATTTACGGGTCCAATAAATGCGGATTCTCGATCCAAAAGTCGTCCTTTATTATGTCACAATTTCGTTCCTCCACTGCCATCTTCTTCGGCTAAAAGAAGAGGAGAATGCCAAACGGCGAATGGGAATGCTGCAAACGAAGACGAGAAACAGATGTGTATTATCACCAAATAATTTGATCTGCCTTACAGGCACAAGCTCACATTCCTGCAACTGAATAACCGAGGCGACTCAGGAACTGCTTCTCGCTTTCAAGCCTATCTAATTTCGAAACCTCGTGGAGATGGAATAGGTAAAAAATCAACGAGGCTCACCCCCTTCCTGAAAATCACCGTTCCTTTCCGGAACAATTGCGGTTCGTTGTTGTAATTAATGCCGAATTCGGAAAAGAGTATTTCATTCTTATCTGAAGACAATGTCCCCTGTAAAGAAAAGATAATTCAAAGAATCAGTCACCAAGACAACAACAAGAAGCATTACCTTCCACCCCCACTGCATTTTAACAGTTTTTTAGCAAAGGAGTAAACAGCCAGCGCAGTAGGACGCAAATAGGGGATGTTAAGAGCAAGTTGGGACATTTAATTCAGTGCGCATAAAAAAGAACGCTGCTGTGATAGTGCTACATGCAGTGGCGGATGACACTCGCAATAGCCAGCACGAATGTCGTGGGTCGGCCCAGACACCGTCAATCGAGCTGGTAGACAACAGTTCGCATCTTCTTCTGAACAAGGGCATAAAACTCCAACACGAGGAAATCTATGGAAGACATTAGCCACAGGACGGTACTGTGACAAGACCCTCAGTCATCGGCGCGTGGGCATTTCATTGTGTAAACTTTTCAAAGGCGGTCGCAGACCTGTGATTCAGTGTCGTTCCCAATTTACGGCACAGCAGTCGTTTCCCTGAACCTTCATCCAGCCCATCGAGCGCCCTTACCCGGACGCCTGACCGAGGCAGAACTTACCTATTGTGTAACAAAGCCGCAAATGGAAGGAAACCTTTCTGTAAGGAGAGTAAACACAGCGCAGTAATTCAAGATCACGATTGTCTGCGCTTTCACATAGCCAGGTCGCACCAGGTATTGCGATAGCGGTGAATCAGGCTAGAACTTTTCAGACATAAGTTCAACACTGCGACAAGCGTCCAAAGGTCGTGGCGGGCCTTGCATAAAAATAAATGAAATTCAAACTCTATCAACTCCGTTTGCCACTTTGTAAACTTAAAAGTACCGGCTTGACGTGAACACCACTGTAAAAGTAGGAGGAACATTCCCATTCAATTACAAAAGCCAGTGAAGTTTTCCATCTGCGAGCTAATGATTGACACGAATCTGCAAACAGAGTGAAGGAAGAAGTGCGCGCTGCCATGAAGGCGGAAAGGCAACACCGCAAAAACTCACACGCAGCCTCTCCTCAGCCGCGGCTGTTGTCAGTCCTCCACGCTGGACGAGGTTCCAGAAGCACGTATTGTACAAATTATTGATGTGACCTTTCAAGAGAAAAGAACACAATATGCACACACTTAAGGCTGTGCCTCAGTTTGTGGACATTAAAAAGTAGCAGTTGAGCAAAATTGAGGAGGCACATTGGAATACCACAAGGGGAACAAACCTGTCAAAGCCATGGTTACATGTCAATATAACGCAAAATCGAAAACAAGGAAAAGGAATTAGACAAAACGGACTTCCAACGATGTTTCCTACAATTTTTCCATCGAGGATCTGTGAAGTTACCGTAGTTATAGCGTTTAATGACAAGTTGAAGAAGATGGGATGGGATTGATCCGACTCGTGAATAACACCACGATGGAACACAACAGTTTGGAAAAGTGCTCGTTAAGAGTGAGCGCAACAGTTAAGAAAGTCGAAAGTTGATTCTCGACAATCAGATCACCACTGATAAATAAAAGTGGTCAAGCACGACGGAGGGAATGAAGCGCGGTGTATCCAAATCGAAGTGATGTGACAACGGGGCCCAACGTGGTTATCACAAATTACAATAGCAGCGAAGAAAAGAAGCTTGAATATAGCCAGGTACAACTTTGTGACAGCACAAAATAGGCCATAAAAATGCAATCGCCGAGTTTACAGTGCATCAGCAAAGTGTGATGGACAGCAGTGATAGCAGTGGTTAAGGGCGCAACCCCCATAAGAAGAAGTAACGACGACACGGAGGGAGAGCTAAGTGCCCGTTTATAAAAGAGATAAAATGGTGCGCTGACATGAAATGCATTCACTAGGCAGTATAAATAAAAGAGGGGTAATAAAACAAGGTAGTTCTACCGCAGGGGAGATTAGCACCAATCGCAATGATATAACTAGAGCAGCATTTTCTCGTGCCTCAGGGTTCTGCGCACTCGAACTATGCTGTTAGTTTGCCAGGCAACGGTTTGAGGGCTTAAAAAAGTGGTTTAATTTAGTGAATTGGCATGAGGTCATACAGAGGCGCCTTTTTGGTGATGGTGCCCGATGCTTACGGCAAAAACCGTTTGCCGCCACAGTGAACCGTAAAAACGACAAATAAGGACGCACGAATCTGCGAGCATCGCATAAACATATATGGGCTAGGTGACCGGCAATATAATCGGGGTGAACTGAGCGTGGGCTTCGAAACGCGGACGGCTGAAAATTTTTGTGTACTCGTCAGGAGCACTTAACGCCACAAGAAGATTTCAAGCCTTCAGATTGTGACCACATGAATAATGGAGGGGCTGAGAGACAAGCGACACGTGCAGAGCCCCATGTCGATTAGCGGGAATCAAAAATATCATCCTAATGTTGGTGAGCCAAGGAGGAGGGAACAGGAGGGGCGGGGGGAGGGGGCCACTTACAGTCAACCTGACGCCAGGCCAGGTAGTCGCGTAGGTTTTTGTCGGTGGGATAGAGGACAACGCGACCGTCAAAGGCGGGTGGATAGAGCAATGGCGTGTCCACCATGTACTTAGGCCACTCAAAAACGTAGGACGAAGCGAACAGCGAGGTCACTGTCGTCATCAATTTGCTGCACAAAAAATCATCCAAAAGTATTAATGGGAGTTCTCAAGATATCAGGCTAACAGCCAGTTTTTTCGAATTTAATAGCGGAACAGACAAACTGGTTTGTAATTAATCAGTCGAGGTAAACAATATAATGTACCTCCGTGGAAATTAAGTAATACTTGGGAGACTGTGTTAAAATACGAGGGCTACAACCACACGCGGTTAGCGTGTTCGTAATTCCAGCTACAATAGACGCCGAATGAGCTTCAACTAGAACGGAGACTGAATGGTAGCTGATGTTGTGATTGAAAATAACTGCAATGCTTTCATTGACGGTTTAACTCTTCGTTTTAGCTTCGCAAGCATTCAACGCTCCGCCTCGGCGCTTGCGCCAGGCGGCCTGGTCTCCGGACAACGCCAATAGCCCCCCAGCACTTCTATACGTCAGAAATACCTTTTTCTGCCCGAGTGTTGTGCCTTCTTTCATCTTCAGGGAAGTCTCGAGGCGCTACACACCTTTTTTTGGGGGGTGAAATTACTTGCAGTGTGCATATATCATGCCTCGGTAGGTTGTTTGTCAATGGAGCGGCTTACCGCCGCCAGTGGATTTCGATGAATATTATCAAGTGCGAAGTGACTGGAATAAGGGCCAAGTAGTAGGCATGGTGCAGAGCCAAATCGAGCCTCCACAAGGTCTATACATGGATATTGGCACAAATGTTTACACACTGGTAAGCGTATGAAATTGAGGCACAAAAGATGAAAATGAATAAATAGTGGTGTGCGTAGCCAAAGTTCTAGGCATGAATAGATGTAGAAAATGAGCTTCCCATCATAGTTACCGTCAAGGTTCTTCTACCCCCTTTATTCATCCCAAACAGGCCATGAAAATGCCACCTGATCCCAACTTTGTCGATATTCACTGTGGTTTTAGGCGATTAGGACATCGACTTGCCTACTTTGGCAAAGTAGCCGAAAATCGAGGTTCTCTGGAATCATTACTGCAGAAATCTTCCATTTTCACCAGAAAGATAACTTATATCCGTTTTTTTCAAATTTAGCCGCACGCCAAGTTTGGAATATACAAAACTGCGTGGTCAGAGGTCAAATGACTCGAAATGGTGAGTAAATGATGGTGATTTTGTGGTGGTCTCCTTGATGCATTCGTAGAGGACAAAACGGTTTTACGACTTCCTACGATAGTAGTGATGTGAAAACCCCAGAGTCCTAACAATGTAACCTTGTACCAGTCATGTACAGGTGATCGTATTACGACTGAGAAGGTGGTAAAGTGATCCAGCGAGACATTTATTGGGTCCCTGAAATCATGGAAGATTAATTTTAGGGGCTTTTTGAGACGGCCCAAACCTAAGATGGGAAAAAGCTTGTTAAACTTCAAATGACTAAGTAAACGCACCCAAAAATGGCGAGGTCCTAGGCTAAAGGCAACACGCTGGCGTCGACGCCTTCTCAGAAGAGGATAGAGGTACTCGCGATCGAATAACCGTCAGGTCTAAGCATTCACACTTTGAAAATTTCCACCATTCTATAGGATAGGAAAAACCTTGAACAACCTCGGTGTACTAAGGCTGAATTTAAAACCACATGAGAACTCTGCCCAAACACACGGTAAATAACGGTAGCACCTGTCACTACCCAGGATTCTGCAATAAACTATGGTGTAATCGGGAAAAGACCGAATCTGATGAATGCGTCGCTCACTGGTACGCGAGATGCGTAAATAACGCCACATGAGTTTGAAGCGCCCTCAAGTATACAGAGCATTCACCCTGATTCGCAAATCGTGCGGCTTGTTTATGAAATGAAGGCAGAAAGGACTCTTTGAAAAAGAGCCGACATTCGTGAAATCAAGACAGGAAAACCGATTAAAGGATATGCTCATCAGACGATAAAAGCAAGTCTACAGTGGGGATGAGTTGTAGAGTCGTGATTTTATTTGCCATAGAAAGGTTCGTCTTGCATTACTCACATCACCTCGGCTACCTAATTGATGTCCGGGTTAGGCATCAAAGGAGGTCTTAACAGGCACACCTCCGCGAGTGCCTGTTTTTGCCATGGCAATTAAAAAAAATGAAAAGCCATTTCATAAGTTCGCTGCCAGGTTCTCCAAGGCAGATAAACCACCGCAGCCCAGACGCTTCACCACTCTACCTAGGTGACCCTTTCAACGGCTGTTCAAACACGAAATCATGGCCTTTTCCTGGCACCAAGATCACCCTACATCCATTTTCGCTCTCTTGACCCGGTCTGTTTGTGCAGCCAGTTACCATGCGCCGATGAAAACAATTGTCACATGTGAGAGTCGCCAAGAGCAGGCTAGAAAACGAGTGTCACATGCATTTGAGGGTAGTAGCTAACGCAGAGAGAATTTAATCAACATAAAAAAAGATGCCTTACATCTTCCTCGAATTCGTGAATGCCTTGTCTAACTTTTGGAATAGTAACCTTATTTTACACAACTGCTTTGAAAACTGCAATAAGAGACTGTAACATTTTAAGCAGTTGTTTAACTGTTCGTTTTGGCCTCACTTCGGACGCTTAAGGCTCCACCTTGGCACTTTCGCTGGACGGCACAGCCTTTAGGCTATACCAGTAGCTCCCCATCCCTTCTGCACGTTCAAAATGCATATTCTGCCAGAGCATCATGTCTTCTTTCATCTTCCGAGAAGTCTCGGGGCACTACACAGACATTCTTGCTTAAATAAAGCAAATTTTGGAACTGATTTCACGGAAAACATTTAAGAATCCCACCTAAGTATTTTTACGAACGAAAATGGCGCTTTAATAGAAAACCAGATACATATATGGACCATGACTGCTCCCGTCATAATATTCTCTTCCGGTTAAAAGGATTATTTATGCATTAAGTAATACCCGTTGCCCCTGATTGCAATCTTATACATAAGGCAGATCAGTTACCCAGCCCAGTACATGAATGTTGAGTTGCAGAAAGGTGGCATCAGGCAAGTATAACACCCCTCCAACTCAGATTATGATCTGTTACCACACATGGATCAACCCCGCGCGACCTTGAAAAGAGCATTTGCTCTACTTCTACCGTTGTAAGAGCTCTTGTTCGCTGCCACTGGCAGGCGGGAGGGCTAAGTCAATAGAGGCTCTCTTGGAGGTGAAAATATCCTTGCCCCGTCAGAAGCAGAACATGGAGCATGGCGGTTGTACAAAGGAGTTAACCAAGAAAACAGGCAAGTCCCATTCATTACTTGATACAGTAAAGGCAAAACTCAAACCACCTAGAATTGGTAAAAGTGATTTCCCGTATGCGGATAAGACTAGTCTCAAGGGACCAATTGCAACAAGCACTGGTTACCAACTTGGAAACGACAATGCGAAGCAAATAATCTACGCATTGGGGCAGATTAGAAGTTACACGCCTCAGCATTAGAACAAAAAGATGTACAGGCAGGGAATGATTGCCCACTTGCGCATTTGAGAAATATCCTGAGCCACGAAACGACTTCAGTGGAGTCTAAAATAAATTTGACCTAGAGCCTCTTGTTGCTTGACTTTGAATTTTCTGCCTTTAGAGAGCAAAGAATGTCAACATTTGATTATGGGGTTAGCATTGAGTTTTATGGCTTCAAAATTTACTGAAGCATAACGTTTGACTCCCTGTTCTTTTGACTTGAATCCTAGGGACATGTTCACAAAATCAAAGGCTCAACGATTTCTGGCGCTAGGGTTGGCATGGTTGACACAAACGCCAACGTCCTAAAGAAACCCGTAGCGGCGTTTCGGAAGCCGTATCAAAACTATGTTCGCTGATGGTAAGGATGGATTAATGCAAACTCCAAAACAACTCAAACAGACTAGTACCTTAATGCAAACATCTAGTACTCACCTCCTTCACGGATTCACAGTGCATACCTTAAAGTGGGGCTGGTGAGGAGGCTAAGGGGATGAAAGAGAGTTATCTGGAGCTGCTTGCGCCTGCACGGGTTAGCTTGCAGGAGGTCCTCTGTTGAAGGTGAGAGGCATGTGACACTGTGAGTCACAGCCTAGAGTCATGCGGCATATGAAAAGGAATTGGCAATTACCCGAAATCCCGAGACGCCTAACTTGCGGACCAAGCAGAAATTGTGCAAGTGAGTACCGATCCCATCCTACGAAGAAATTTTACCCAGGAATAAAATACCAAATTGAGGGGTGTTGGCGAAGAAATACACTACCCTTTTGACAAAAAAATATTCAAATTTGTTAGATTTATTTAAAGTGAGTTTGAGTAACGAAAGCACTGTGGCGACTAATGTGCTTTGAGCGCTAAATTGAATCGTATAGTGAATTAATGGGCACCTTGAATAAGCATACAGATGCATAGGAGTCATGAACAATAAACCGGCTTCATTTAACAGATGGGTAAGTCTGCGCAGGAACTGTCACAAAGATGCGGGCGTGTAGAACCTCTCCTGACATTTAGGAAGCAGAAAGTCAACTCCATTGTTGATTTACCGAGGGTAAGAAAGTGCCATCCAATGGAGAGGAAAACATTTGGATTTCAAAAGTGGATATAATAACCAACTCAAAGGACACCTGAATGAAAATAGGGGTATCTCCTTGGATAAGAAATGGCTTTGAATGGAGAAATTCAACTGATTGCCTCATGAATTGAAAAAAAAACAACCACCGAATGCGGACAACAGCTCTCAAGATAACAATTCAGCAGTTGTGAACTTCTCATTAGAAGTGGATAATTTAGAGTACGATTTATGAATTATGTTGAAGCATACCGAGAGTGGAATGGCTATCGTTATAATGCAGCACTGGATAAGCAGCTTACGCAGTATCACCCCAGTAAACCATGGGCATTATAAAGCTGAAATCGGTCAGTTGACTTTAAAAGTTGCATAGAAAGAGGCGAAATGATGGAATAGATGTTGTCGACACCATAAAGTGGTTAACGACAATCCAGCAACCAAGAGTTTAACTTAGTTGTGAGCTGCAATTTGAAGCAAAGATTGTGAATGGGATCTCGAAAGCCAAGAACCGAACTCCTACATGCCCAACTTTTTAGCGTATATCCCAACGAGAATGGCTACACTGACTTCGCAGTAAGTCCACTAGCTTACTACTGAAGACGCCCTAATCCAACGTTGCAACTCTAACACCTGCATGCAGGCATGGGAATATCAAAAAATAAGTTTAAAATAGTCTTAGCAGAACAATCTTTTGTTCCTTGCTTTTGTTAATAAAAGAAAAGATTGACACGATCGGTCACATTCACACTGAAGATGTACAATTTCAAGCCGAGTTAGGAAAAAAAATCAACGATGCTACTGGACAACCATCCAAAGGCGAATTTTGCGACAAAACACTTTAGTGCAGAAAGAAATTTGGCAGCAGAATTGTTGACCAATTCGAGGTACTGATGGTCTGAAAATGCTAACAGAGATTCTTGCAAAGGTGACGTCAGTCCTGCATGAGCCAATTTGGCTAAATTTTAACAGCAACTTTACGGATTACGCAAGACACAACGCCAGAATTTTCCTTCTTCCAACAGGGAAGTGCCGCCTGAAGCCACCGTTGATGGCCCTTTCTAGAGCCTTCTTGCCATTTTTTTAGCTGGAGCAAATCATTCTTCCACACTGGAAACCCGAGGTGCCAGTCACTTACTAGAGAAATGCATCATACTTGAACTTGGGCCTTAAATCGACTTGAGCCCCACCGAAGACTACTCTTTGAAAGCATTCAGAAGCAGAAAACCTTTAGCTAAATTTCGGAGGATTCCCATTTGTTAATTACTGTGGTGGGAATGTAATTTCTGTCAAGAACAGGGAGTAAAATAGCGACATTCAATGAAATTGGTCTGAGACACGAGTGAGTCGACACTAACGAAACGTAACTTCCAAAAGTTCATCCTTTTTTTCACTGAAACCTTTAAAAATCCCAAGCATTGTGAACTACTTTTTTCTAGTTCAAACGATCACCAAAGCAACTATGGAAGCCAATATAATTTCTCATTAACTTTATGAAAAAAATTTCTTCAACAAAAGAAATAGAAGTTAAAAAATGGAGATCAGTAAGGGTATTCTAGAATCCTAAAGTCCCAAAACAGGTTACCTATGACGACCTAAATACTCTAAGAACTAAGGTAACGCTGAGGTCATAACAGGAAATCGCTTGCCACCAGATAGGCTACCGTTGCTGCCTTAAAAATGGAAGCATCTATTACAGAAATGGTTACAAGAGCGAGGATTCCAAATCAACGAACATGTTCCAACCAATCAATCAATTAATCAAAGGTAGATCAAGAGTTGCGTTTGAAACCAATTTAGTAGCCCAGTGACAAGCCAATAACCAAAATCTGACGTCAAACTAACCTAACCGTTATGGGTCAAGTGTATTAACGTCAAACGATTTTGCGATAAGCTCCAGAACAGTACCCACCTGGGACGTCGATTAAACGAGTCAGTAGAGCGTCTAAAGACGAAGCTAAACTCGTCGGATTGACCGTAGGCGAGGACAATGTCACCGTGCTGGTGCATGACGCGCCTCGCTGCCGCACAGGCCAGCCTCAGTGCGCGCTCGTCGTTGGGCTTCACGAAGGCATGCTTGTCAGCAAACCTGTGGAAGGTCTGGCCATCCAATCGCACCACTATCCACGTGTTGGGCAGGCACGGCACCTCGGCCTCGTAGTCGCGCACGTAGGCGTACACTGAGTTGGCCATTTTGCTGCGGTTCAATGGACGGAAGAGAGGGGAGACTTTCCTTGCTAAGATGAAGTGACGAGCACCGGTGAGGAAGAATTTCTGCAAGTGAGAAGGAAAGAAACCATAGCGGTCGAACCTTTGCTCAAAAAATGTTCAGCTCAACGCTGGCCATCAATTCCTCTCTAGATGAGTGATGTGCAAGATAACTTTTGTTTTTTAAGCTAACCGTAACAAGGATATGTAGCTACCAGAATACAAATAGCACACGACTTTCGGTGTGAATTCGCATACAGGTATACGCAACTTTAAAACATCAACTCGGAGTTTAATGATCAATGACTTGGTAACGATTTCAAAGATATCCAACTAGCAAAGAAATTTTCTATGTTAGGAAGTACCAGATCATAAATTTGGAAAGAGCAAATACTTGAGGCGCTATTCGACACTAACGGCCATGGTCGGCAATCGGCAACAATGGCAAAGGCGCGAAGATGGCGGAACTATTGCGTTCTGCAGCAGGATAATGAAGGTGGTGATAGTTTACGCATGTCACTCTGTCACAAATCAAAAAAGAAAGCGAAGCAGCCAACGAAGATCTCATGGCAGTTTGGAAATGCTACCGCGACAAGCTATGGAGGAATGCATTGTCGATCTGTTCAAGCTGAGATAATACCTCAGCAACAAGTATGAGCAATCCGGAGCAAATACTAATACTAGTTCGAAGTAGACCATGACCTTAGTGACGCAAGACGCTCCCGGTCCTCAAGTACAACCGATCACCTTGCATTTACATTAACAGGCCTCGCCGAATGAATAGACCGAAGAACCTCGATAAATAAAATGCGTGAGCAGCTACTCAAAGCACATCGGAGGCACATTAAAGGCAAAGACAAGAATACTTATTTAGGTAACTTTATTAGATAGCAATGACAACAATTTGGTTGCACTTATAAGTGAAACGCGATTATTAAAGTCGCAAACGACAAGTTGTGGCACAGGACTTGCAAAATATTAGCGTAGAGAGTAACGTGAGAAGGGAAGGCTGGAATGTTAAATAATATCAGGCGAAGGGCGAATTCGAGTGTTCAGAGGGTTCAGTCCATTGCATAGGAGCTTTTTTGTCGATTGATTCTTTTGGTGGAAGTTCCGGAGCCTCCTCGTCCTCGAATGTCGGCTGCGGTGTCAACAGACTGACCTTCACTGAGGCAGGCTTAAAGAAGGCCGGCATGCGCTGTAATCGAAGTAAGATAAAGAGGAGCCAAATTTTAAAAATGCAAATCCTACCAACTCATAGACATCAGAGAAAGTGTAAAACTACAAAATTTAATGAAGGCTTATAAATGTGAGGACCGAATAAGCAAACTACTGACTTGTACAAATATGAGTGCGAAAGACAAAGGTAACTGTACAAATATGATAAAATGGAAGCTGACCCGGTATTGGCGCTGAAAAGTGGCACAACGCGCACGACGAGCGCTGAGGCGCACGCAAGCGAACACAAGTAGAGTAGCGCTGATGACAAACATGAGAATAACGGAAACCAAAAAAAGAGGATGGGCTGCAAGGTTGTGGAGAGCAATGTGAGCTCGGCGGCAAAAAGTTCTTGCAAAAGAAGGCATTTCCGAACCATCATCATTTGATGACACGGGCATGATGTGGAATGAAGTTGGGGACTCGTCATTCGAATCGTGAATAACATTCATAATCACGTACACACTGTCATCCATCATGTGCGAGGGTTCTACACAGTTAACGACAACTTCAAAACCCGAACATACCTTTAGGAACCACAAGACGGATATGCGATTCCCTCACAGGTACTTGGTCTTGCTCAGGTTCTGTAAAACAAATCAATTAGTAAAAATCATCACTTACGACCATTGTCATTCAAGGATAAGAAAGAAAATATCCTGAAGAAAACGTGAAACGAGGAACAGAGGAACAAACTTCATGATTGGACCACTAAGAGCATCGAAAATTGGCGATGGTCCACTTTGAGGGCGTACGATTTCCAAGGGAGCTATATACGTGCAACCAACAAAACAAGCCGACTTCGAATCACTATCTTCAAAATGACTGCACTTTTGCTCACAATCCAAGTTCACACCAAACTCATCCGTTCGAGCATTGAGACCGACTGACGAATGGCATCCAAAAACACAAGCCTCACCAAGACTCGCGATACTCTAAAAGATATAACAAAAAATCTTCAGCGTACATATCTATTACGACAGTTCTCATCGCAATCGTGGCAGCTGAAAGGAAGAGAGAGAACCGACGGCAGGAGCAGGAACAACCAGGCGACCATCATTCTCAATTGTACCGCCGACTCGACTTGAAAATTGACCGACTAAAACAGCGATAGCCGTTGCAAACACAATACAAATAGCGCATTAAAACGCTAGCAGTAAAAATTTAATTACAAAAATATATTTTTTAAGTCTCGTCTATTTAAATATCTGTTTGTCAGGGCGAACAATATTATTGGTCAACTACTGTCCTCCAAAAAGTCTCGAGTTTTTGCAGAGTTTATTTTACTAAACTAATTAGTTTACTTAGAAAATAAAATATTTTTTGCGATACTGATGCCTTAAGGCAGAGGCCACTGTTTTAATATAGGTTTCTTTCTCATTAATTTGTATGGCATGTATTTTTACGTTAACTCAATTGTTTTTCGAAATGAGCATAACAGGTTTACCTTAACTCATACTTTTAAATGTAGTATACCTGCTTCTGTCTTCTGATCCGTTGGTTATGGGGCCTCAATCTCATTCACTGTAGTATGCCACCAGCGATAGGTCTCCGGCGCCTTAGTGGTTTACTTGAGAACTTATTTCAGGTTTTAAAATCTGGCAGTGCATTATTTCATCGTATTCCGTTGCCATTCAGCGAGAGACACTATATGAAGAATTATGTCATCCGCGGTGAACTTGATGACATTGAATTCCCACCTGACCGACGGAAGCTGTATCCTCTTCTTCGCACTCCGGTTTTAGGAAGTGGTGAACGGATGTACAAATATCCTAGAAGACATTATGATCTTCGAGGTCCTGAAACTGTCAACCACTTGTTGAATCATTCCCAGTTCGGTATTCAGGTATGGTAGCTGCATTGCCGGCTCTGTGACCGCTTCTCATCATCTACGAAATAATATGGTAAAATTGAAAGCACTGCGATAAGCTGTATTTACGGGTCCGGTTGTAATAGCTCCTACTTCGCATTCTATATGAATTGGCTCATGCGTTCTGTTGGCATTGGATTGAGCATTGGAGAAGCGCTCTAGCACTTTATCACTTGTAGTTTTATTATGAGCCCTTTACGTATATTTTTTTCCTAGCCTAATATTGCTCTGGTTCGATTAGGCTCTCGAGGGTGGGGAACTCCTAATTGGACACCTAGATATGATTCGCGCAACTGTCAATAGGAAAATTGACGAGAAGAGAATGTTTGCCGTATGGCGAGTACCCGGACCTTGGAAACCGAAAACGAGAAAATCTCTCGGCAAACGAATGGGAGGAGGGAAAGGTAATTGGCTTCAGATGTCGTAATCACCCTCACTCAGCCGACATTCATCACTACGTCACACCCGTTCGAGCCAACAGGATTATAGTAGAACTCGGCGGCCACCTTGAATGGCGTGAGGCCTCTCGTATACTAACCGGAATTGCCAACCTCTTGCCCTTCAGTGCGCGGTTCGTGTCCCAGGAACTACTCGACATGGAGGCAAAACTGGAATTCTACATTGCTGAGAAGAACGTCAACCCCTTTTATCCTCCAGGCCGGGCGCTGCTGAAAAACTACGCAGGATGTCGGTCTTTTATCAGCCCCTGGCACCTCGAGTGGGGCGATACCAGTTTCAAGTGATCTAAACCGCGGATCCTACCCACCCCCGACATCACCGTCCTTGTAAAAATTGAATAGTCATGATAAAAATTATAATCTGAATAAGTGTACAACTGTACATAGGGCGGGAGATTAAGCGGAACTATTACCCTACGTTGCGTCTTGTGGCCACGACATTCCGACAGGCAATCACGTAATAAAATAAAAAATACCAACACCAACCACGTTTTGTCAGAGGTCACAAGCACCGACCGTAGAGACGGGAAGGCAGGGCAGAGGTGGGGAGGGGGATTCTTTACAGCAGGAGGGGTCCCAGATGAGGGGGATCGCAATTGTGGGGGATGGTAGCTTAGACGGTACGTAGCTTAGAGCTGCCATTGGAGAGCAGGAACGGAATGAAATGAGGCGAACGGCCGGGCGCGTGACGCCAGAGGGGTGGTGGCACTCAAATTGGGGCGTCAGGAGAACCCAGGAGTGGTAGCGCCTTTTTCGACTCGATCGCATCCATCAATTCTTGCAGAGATTCCTTCCTAAGGATTAAACATCAAGAGCTAAACCGCAGGAAGGTGATGATAGTGAATGCAACGGCAGGCGAGGGGTCAAGCGTACCTTTGCTGATGGATTTTCAGTTTCGTTTCACTTATGCACACTAGGGCGCGTAGTTTCTTTAGTTCGCCAGACAGCTCACTATAGAGGACACTGTGCAGGCGATCGAAATTACGCAATAATGACTGTGCCTGAAAGCAAAATGGGGGAATCATTAAGAACAAACTGACTGGACGGCATAACTCTAAATAACTCCCAAGTGAATTAGTGTGATAAGCAATGAGCGTACAAGGCACTTGCTTAAATTTGTGCGTTTGCCAAGCAAACGGGTTTGACAAAACGCTAACACAATGAGTCTGCATAAATGGAGAGGTGATCATAACGGTAGCATGAATAGAGATGCGATCTACAGCTTTCTCGATCATCATGTGTGACTGTGGATTTGAGGAACAAATGGCTTAAAATATGATGTAGCTAGAGAAATGTCACAAAAGTACTTCAGTCTCGATCGTATCGGCCACGGGATGTTGGAACCGCACCGAGAGGTGGGAATCAACAAACTGCAACACCTCCGGAGCATCGAGAGACAAGGGATAACGTCGACTATCCGAAGCACAGGCGGAAAGAGGATTCACAGTACCTCCATCCTCCTCGCTTGAATGACTTCGCCGAAGCTGCAGTGCATCGCCGACAACAGCACGTGAATCCAATGGACTGTGACGCTTTTGCGGATGATTTCGAAAGTCGGAAGCGGTATTGGCAGGAGAAGGGGAATTGCGTGGACAAGGTGATATGATTGATGTACCATCGGACGAAGATGGACATGTAGGGGTACGCTCATTTTTGGTTTTGTCTGAGCCATTTAACGAACCTCTACAAGAGGGACGGAGCTCAGATTATGGCTTTGAAGGCAGGCTTAAACAATCGCGAAAAAATAGGACGAAATTTAGCTTAAAAATATCAGAAGCACGAAGGCACGTTGAACTCATCACAGGATATTAAACTTTAGAATAAGAAGGTAAGGCATCCGTAGCTTTAATGCCACATACTTATTGGACACGGGAGAAGACGTGTGAGATGCCGTTCTACCATCAACCAATCTTTTATCTAAAACGGAAGCGTATTGATTAAAAACGCCCGAAAAGTTACGGTAAAATGCATATATGGAGGCGCCCTTAGCGTCCTTGGCAAAATGACGGTGAACCTCTTAGATGCAAACCGCGGCTTCACGTAACGAGCGGAAACCAGCCAGATGAAGCAAGAGACCGGTCGAATGAGCAACCAGGTGCCAGTCTCACGCACTCAATAACATGGCAGCGCATCGATTGTGACACACCGACCCTGCGAACTCTGTCCAGACGTAAATGCATGCCATTGGTGAAGTGAAGTCACATGTAGTAGGCAATTGTGTCGGGTGATTGGCTGATTTGGTCAATAAGCGAGACTCGATTCAAAACAGCAACTGTGGGTCGAAGTGCGCTCAGAGCAGGTAAACTAAAGTGAGGTCGTACTGCATCCCTTACGGCAGTTAAACGGGGCTGAGCTTCCAGCATGTCTGAGGCTGTTATCGGCTCAGCATGGTAAGTCCTATCTACAGTGCAGAATTGTAGGAACATCCCCGTTTCAGTAAACGAACAACTAAAGCCGCATTGTAGAGTAGAAGTGCAGTTTCAGGTAGCACAAAACACCTATTTACACGTCTCTGAGACCCTTGAACCTAGAACTCGCAGTTGGTTTGCGACTGAGGGAGAGCAATCACCTTACCGAATCCAAGCGGGTGCATGTGCACCGACAAAACAAAGCTTATGACCAAGTTTGTGACAGTCAAAAAATTCTCAGCGAAATATTTTAAAGAAGAAACGCACGTGTTCCTAAGAAAGTGGACAAGAGGTTAGCAACCAATGGTTGAGAACGGGAAGCGGAATTAACAGGGGGAGTACGATTGTTGCAACCCGAGGCATTGGAAAGGGACAGCCGATCTCGTTTATCAACTACGTGACTCAGCACAGACACGAGATTCCGGAGAACCTGATCTGGTTTTATTGAACTGGTTCGTTGCGGAGATGTGGCTATAACAAAGGAAAAATAATAAAAACGACTAATGGTGGCCAAAATACGCGCCCTCGATGAAAATGGAGCCATAAAGAACTAGAATCAAATTATTTTAAACTGAGTGTGCGACATCAGGAAGCGCCACACTTGAGAAAAGCCTACACCGTTGTCCCGTACTTTGTTGATATATCGCCATGCATTGAAACACAGGATTCAGTCTACGACTACATTCCCATGCGTTAGAATTAGCGCAAACCCCAAGGCATTTGTAAATTTATGGATTGGAGGTTAGAAAGAACTAGCTTATGTGGTAGGAAAAGCGGTGAAATAACAAGGATGATAAACTACAATTTGTAAGGGTGAAGGATGCACGATAAAACCAGGTCAAAAAAGCTTTTTAAGTGAATTAAAAACTTGCGACAAAAGGGAATTAATAAGAAGCTAATCTTCGTTTGGCTTCTCTAAATATAATTTAATCAGCTTCTACTTTGCATTGCGAGTTGGCAGAATCCTTTTAAAAAGCCCCTGCGCAGTACCTAGAAAAGTTACATAAAATTTTGAAAGTTGAGAACCAGATAACAGAAAAACTAGGTTTTACTTTTGATGATGGCTGACACTTTTTCTAGGTCCTTGCGCTGCCTAAATGGGCGATTACATGAGCCAAATGACGACGTAAAAATGAACGAAAGTCCCATAGCAGGAAGCCTGGGATGATGCGGTAGAGAAAACTGCAAAACCGCGAAAGCGGTAACGCAGACCAGAGAATGCTCATCCAAAGTTAGTACGGTTAAGTGATGCCGTCCCCCGTAGGTATTGCCTACACAACTACGGGACTTGGCCAATTAGCAACGCTACGTGGGTGCCAGAAACAACCAATTTGACAAAGAACTAGAATCCATAAGCCAAGGTTGGTCGGTACAAACGGGCCAAAACCACTCTCGCTGCACTGCTTCACTAGAATGAAGCGATGCTCAAACTAGAGACGAGCTGGACTTTGGGAACTGTCCACCATGTTCATAAGCCTTACAATTAGTGTGTAGCCTATAGGCAGTAATCATAAAGACGGCAACGGAAGGCTAATCGCGTGTCCTCAACTCAAGAAATGCAATCCAGGCCACTTCGGCGCCGAATACACAGGATACCTACGCTGGATGGCAAAAGCGCGTCAGCAGCAATTGGAACAGACAAGGAAATAATGTACTTTGCGAATTGTGAGAATAGTCAACAGGTGCTCATAGCTGCGATAGTTCTTCAAATATGTTTATTAAAAGCATAAAAACTTTTTTTACCAGTTACTTCAACTAATACGCGAACAAAAAGCTATTTCCATGTAGCGATCGTAAGAAGCGCAGCTCCGTTAGTGCACAAAAAGCAAAGTGCACACAGATGAAGTTTCGACAGGGACAAAGCCTTACCATTTAATTCTTGATAAAGCTAAGGTTTATTTCTTAAGGACATAACGCAGCGTATTTCCGCTGATTCTTTGGAGCTAGCGCTTACGCTGTTTGTCAATTTGTGTAGAACGCCGATCGGATTTGGAAGAGCAACCATCTTTAGATTGAATATCAGGAAGTAGGGAATCGCCGTTATTTACAGCTGGCAAGTCGTGTGGAGGCCGACGTTGGCACATACTAGCAGGATGTTGCCGGAGAGTATGTGTTGTCTCATTGCGAGGCAATGAAGGACTGGAAGATCGAGACGTGGATGACTGTGGATCACTACTTGGCATTTGACCAGAGGATGCAGTCATCAAAAGCGGACTTCGAGTTGAATGTGGGGCAAGAATACTTGCTAATTTGGGTGGCATGGTTGCATCAGCCTAAGGAGTAGAGCAACAGAGACCCAGAAAACCACATCTCCAACTCTTAACCGACAGTAAAATCCCGTTAATTCAAAAATTACCAGGGGAGATAGGGAAGAAAACCGTCCAGTTTCAATCGTAGTAGGATTCTGGTGAATCTAAATCTCCTTATCAACTTAAACGCCTTTACCTTATCGTCGTGTGGAAGTACCCTGTTCGAAGACACCTTGGCCTGGAAATCACCACTTTCTTCACGGGGGCCATGATTCTCTATGCTATTGATGCAATATGAAGTTGAAGCTAAGGATGAACCAATCTTGACCCCGTCAAAAGAATCCCGTATGTTCTGATGAACCCGCTGTGGTGATCCATGGCCTACGTTGTGCGAAAATTCTGAACTGACCCACTACATTTGCATCTTACCCGAACGGTCAACTTTTCTCGGCGAATTGACATGCAAGTTGTGTTGATCTAGATGAGAATATGAATTTCCTTCAATCTTAGTTCGATCAACACCGCCTTTAGACCCGGAGTACCTTTGACGCTTGGGAGAAGACGCACCATCTTGCAGTCGGGATTTCACTCTATCTACCTGATTTAGCGCAGAATATGGACGCTTAACAGTTTGACCTTTTATGTTAACAACGGAAAGATAGAATACCTTCGCCTTGCCGGTCACAAATGAACTTATGCAGCTCACTTTGAGTCATATCGGGAAGTGTCCACTCAAGAGGCTTCTGCCATTGAGATACTTCGGTTATACAGTTATAGAAATATACTTTCCCTTTTGAGCTAAGTTGTTCGGACCAGTTCCCACACACACGTAACGTGTTCTTTTGCCACTGAAAAAAAATACGACAAGGCAAGGGACGCACCTCCGGTTTCCCACGAGCTATAGAGGACTGCTTCGGCTGATCGTGATCACTCGGCGGAATCCTATTCGTGATGATCGTCGCTGAATGACTAGAAGAGGCTTTAGACATAACCAAGGGTCAGAAACAAAGGCAAACTTTTCATAGTTTCCCGCAACTGGACAGTAATACCGAGCACACAATCCCCAGCCGTATTCTGGTAGTCTTAGATCAATCGCGGACAACTCTCTAATAGCGGTATATGCGAGCGCAAGGCTTTGATACCCAGATCTATGTGGACAAAAGTGCTCTGGTGGATAACATGGAAACAAACGTCCCATAAGCGAAGACGCGAATAATTAAACTGGAGAGCCATATTGGAAAAATATATTGCGATTGATACGAACGAACAATAAATGTTGCAATAGAAGAGCGAGTTAAATAAAAAGTTGTACCTTTAGTAAACCATTGCATTACAAGGTAGGATTGGGTTTGCTCCTTAAACTGGTAAAATATATATATACTACAAATTTTTAGAAAATTCGTATCATGGAGTCACTAGTGGAATATGGCTAATCTTACAAAAGTACCAATAAAACATGGAAGAAAATACCTCTAAAATTTTAAGAGTAGGTGAAATTTGTTAATTGTAATAGTACTTGATACATTAAAATCGCTGTTTAACCGGTAAATCATCACTAAATATTAACCTGCAAATTATATATGGATTTGTCTACTTTTTAGAGCTTGGTTAAAAATTCTGTATTTATCTAAGTTAAAGTTGTAGATTTTTAAGCACATGCTAAACTCTCTGTTTTGATGTCTCGGGTACTTAAGCCTCCCGATTGTTTTTTTGATAGGCTCGTAGCCTTTGGTCTTTTTCCGACGGACTCTCAACCCCTCCTTCCTTTAATAATGCTTATTCTACCCTATTCTGCTTCTTTCGCCTACAAAAAAGACTCGGTTTGTAGATTATGAATACCAGAGCAAGAAATGTTGCACCTCGGCACCTGTGATGACGCCATTCTCGATCCGGATAGTATAAGCATCACAATGAATGAGCAAAGTGATGAATGATCCTAGCTATGCGATATCAGTGGGCTTACTCAAAGACCTGTCTAACGAAGACAAAGAGCATTCAGTGTGAATTAGCTCTCTTTGTGCTTTCTCGGCAAGTGCTGGGAGTGTCACCCATCGCTTGGCACGGCGCGTTTTTATGCAGGATTACAAAGTCCACTGATGCAGACTTCGTGCTATTAAAGTTATTGCCATGTCACTTTGCACCCATAAGCAGTGGGTAATGGAGACCGTATGCACAGTAAACATAACCTCACCTATCGGATTCCTTGTGATGGAGTAGTGTGCAAATTTTGAATTGGTGCAAGGGTCTAGCCTCCTTCCTTTTACAGGGAATAACCACTTTACTTCACACTAGTTTTCTAGGCACAAAGTGGTACCGCACACTGCTTGGTTATCGAGACACTCCATGAAACCTTCGTTTTCCACCTATTTAGTTTTCTTGGCTCTAACTATTTGGTGGTAACCAGAGTTGCTAACTTCGCTCTCACCTCCCTCTCTACACTCAGTTGCCAAGGCATGAACGCTCTAGTGAACCTTATCAGGGTCACAATACCCATTAATTCTTTCAGACGCTTGTTTTATTCTCACATGATGACCTGAGATCCTTCGTCTATGAACTACCCTCTCTATTCTTTCAAGAAAATTCCGTGAAAATTCACACCGGCATTTTCAAAAAAGCCTCCTTTATCACGCAGTGGTTGTCTGAAACATTGAATTTGCATAAGATCGGTAAACACAGAGGCGGTATTCTGCAAGAAGGATTGCACATGGTACTAAAGCCGCAAGTGTGAGTGTTTTCCTCCAGTAGGGCAGCAGTTAAGAGGACCTGAGTCAGTGTTGCGTCAATGCAGCACAATAAGTTATTGATGGCGTGGTAAAGGCAAGCGGTTGTGTTTTATTAAGTATAGGCAAGTTATTACCATAAATGAAACCAATATTTTGGAACAATTCAGACTAAATTGCACTAGAATGGAGCGGAGTCCCACTGAGTTAGCATCGAATCGTATCAGCGGCTGTTGGCGGAACCGCAGATGCAGGACATTTGTGTCTGACCAGCTAGCTATAAACTTCTGCTAGTGGTGCCTCTGTCATATCCATGCGGCTTTTACAGGTCAACTCCCCACCAGTTAAGGAATTGGAGTGTTAACTTTATTACTCAGTCGTTAAGATACCAATTAGCATGACTCTAATTCGAATTTGCCTCATCTTCCGCCTCATATCGAAGGCCTAGTGAGAGGAAAAGTAGACGCTCGGGTTTTCAGTAATAACAGCACTTTCCGGTAAAAAAACAAACAAGGAGCAGTTATTAAAGGTTCTTTGGGCCGAAACTTTTTAAGCGAGTTTTCGCATGAGAGCTTGTCCATACGTCTCAAGAAGGATGTCCACGTAAAGCGGGAAAAATCCGCTCAGAGGAGCGGTAGCATTAACAACTGATAGGGGACCGTCAAGCAGGGAGGGAAGGTGGAAATGGAATTAAGTTCCAGAGGGCCAGGTCTACTTGATTTGGTTGTAGCGGTTCAGATTGCGAACGTAGAGGATAGCAAAGGCGAACGCAAAAGCGTTTCCCACAGACGCCACGAAGGAGGAAATTGACATCATTAGCATCTTGTGGTTTAAATATGAGGTTAGTACGACCGTACAGCCCTAACAATGGGAACAACTGATAAGAAAGATGTAAAAATACATAAAAGAATGTGTCTACGCACATACAGCATTTCGTAATTTCTGCGTAAACGTTAAATGCAGGTCCTAATTGGTGTTTTACAGGTTCTGGCAGGTGGATATTAGAACTTGCTTAGGACGTCTTGAAGAAGTATTGCTAGAATATTAGTATTCAGTTGGCTTAACTGAATACAGGAATTGGTGTGTGTTCGGTAATAAGAACATATATTGAAACACAGACCAACAACAAACACAAAAATGTAATAGCCTCAAATTAAATGATCCGATATTGAGGAATCTATGCTATCTGTACAAAAAACTACAAAACATAAATTAGGTGCGTTTAAAGCTACCCCCGCTTCTGTCACTTTTGCCTTGACTGCGCCAAATTTCGGTGAAAATCATCACAATAATGCTGAAAGATGACTTGTATGATCTTGAAGCAAAACTGCTGTTCCATAGAAACCTAAACTAACGTTGGACATAAAAATATCGAAATGCTATTCTACTATTTTATTCATCAAACAATAACCGCATCAACGTTCTAAAAACCAAATATCCCACGCAAAGTCACTTGCTCAAAACTGTAGCAAAACTCAAGACCACAAGGAGCAGCAAGTTAGGTGACTCTAAGAAATTCACTGCGTAGATTCTTTCGAAAAATTATTCAGACAGCTTTTTCAGGAGGTACACAAACTTTAAAAATTGCATAATGACCACCAACGATAGTTTGCTCCGTTTATCAGCTCCACAAATATACAAACTGAATTCATATTAGGTCAGTATTACCTAGAATTTGATATCAAACTTGCAGCTTCATAAAAACCTAAAAAAGTGTACTACTCCTCGTTAGGTGCGTGCACAGATCTCCAGGCACTTTGTACTAGCATTCCACTTTGACCATGTAAATCTAAAGCATTTACACATGAGTGATCTAAAACCATGAAAGCAGCACTTTAAATATTTAGCCTTTCCTTTTTTTGCTTGGGGTGAGTATAGGAAGTAGTGATTCAGACATGCTAATGATTTTGCCCAGGATAGCGTATTCGGAGAGTTGAGCCATCGTATCCTTACATGGGGATGCATTTGATATGGATATTCACAAGTATGAATCATTTAGCACGCAATTTATTCCCATCTAACTACCGGTTTGATGCGACCAAGTAAAGTGTACAATTTCAGATCAAAGCGTGCCGCGTACTAGCAAACCTCAAGGTAACACGTAGAGCAGTGATGGGAGTGGCTTACTCATAGGTAAAGGTGTCATTTCAGTTTACAAGAACAAAGTGGAGCGTTGCAAAAGTGTCTGACAGTGTTCGAGAGATGCAATTCCAATGTGGGAACAGCGATTCGTGATAATTATATGAAAAAAACTTCAATGTCATTCAATGAAATACTATTGCATCATAATATCATAGCAGTAAAATGGAAAGGAGTCTATACTGTCTGACCTTAAAACAAGTTATATTTCAATGCTCGTTCCTTAAGAATTAGAGCACACCCCAAAATGCTGCGTTGAAATTTGCATTATGCCGCACAAATTTAATCAGGAGCCATTACCTATTTGTTAAGTAAAACCTTACACATAGTTATTAACATCGTAAGACTGTCATAAAGTCTACCTTTGGGAAAATGTCTTTGTCCACACAGTTGGGCCGAAAACAACAAGAAGACGGAATTGGCAGACTCATATTTCTGTAGTCAATAGCACTGTTACTTCCACAACATTGAAACTAAATGTAAAAGTTGTTAAGCTCTCCTACCTCACTTTGAATGAGATCCATTTTATTCTTGGTCTCATTGCTAGTGGCATAATTGCTCACTAAGTCCTTCATAACATCAATGACATAGTTTTCTAGCTACAGAAGTAAGTAAAGAACACATTTACATTGTTTTTCAGTATCGCTGCTGCAAGTGAAATGCATATTTCCAGCAGGAGAAGAATGCACGTAATTCCTGCGTACTAAAAGGTAGATCAGCAATGCTTAACAAAGCATTAAATTTTACCAACTTAAGCATGCAGAGGTTATCTGTTTTGCTCCCATACACGCCAAGGATACAGACCAGTATTGTAGTAAATCCGATGCAGAGAAGGATAACTGGTATGACAACGTAGTTATAATTTCTCGTAAAATCATTTGATCGAAACCAGTGGATAAGATAACTAGCGATTCCTATAAGGGCAAGACTGACACACTTTGAAATAAAAAATAAACAAATCTTACAGTTGTACACACGATGGTAAGCCAATGCAACAGTTTTAGACATCTCAAAGAGGGATCATTAGCCTTTGTGTTCGGAGCCATGCTAAGGAACTTCCGAACGAATTAAAGTACCGGCTACTATCGTCTAGGTGATTGCTTAACAAATGGGTAATATAAACGCATCACAAATAAATCGATAACAGCATGTCTGAAAAGCATTAAAAGGTACCTAGAAGGTTAGTAGGAGCATCAATAATATTTTAGGGGCAAAGCTTTAGAAGATATAAGCCAAGAATGTAATATTAAAAAGCAGTTAATTAAATCAAGAGTGTAAGAATTGAATTTATTGTTATAAAGCATAATAATTTATGCATCTTAGGGGTTTATTTAGATATGGTTAGTCAAGTTTTGAGTTAATTTGGAAGAGAGTATTGATCATAAATTTAGGGATTTTGGACAAAAAAGTGGCAAAAATTTGCATAAATCAATGCAATGCCTTAACTTTCCTTCTTTAACCACTTAGGCAGTTTAGTCTTTGCAGACTGTAGTTTCACCCTGCGGCGTGTCGGTCGGACAGATTTAATGCCTCCCACTGTAGTAGTGCTCTAAGGCACCGCTGAAGATTAAAGAAGACGTAACACTTAATCTGAGTATGCGCAGCCGATGTGTAAACGGGCTAAAGCATCATGAGCATGCCCTGAAAAATAGAGTTACTGTATGAAATACAACGTCCGAGGCCCCTGATTGTCCGTTACCTAAAACAAATTGTTAAGCAATTAATCAACGCATAAGATAGTGCCCACCTGTTTAAGCGGTGCCGCTGGGGCTTTCCTTGGTCACACTCCTACGTTAGCTATCACAACGTAGTCAGTGCCGTAGGAAAGTTTACCCATGTACCAATTGCACTAGTCATCAAAACTGCGTTCATCTGGGAGGGTATCTGCGATTATGGTTTTTACCTTAGCATTTCCATTGCAACTAGAGTTTAGTCCTGAATGGGAACTGCATTAGGACACAAAGGTAATGTGCACGCCATAACGCATGCCCAACACTAGTGGCAGAGTCGTTGGCTTGAAAGCAGAGTTATGTAACAAAGAACTGGGTATAAAGTGGTTCTGTTTGGATAAAGTTCCGCGTCTATTCCTTCTTGTCACTTTATTCTCATTTCACAGCAGCCTAGCCAAATCTATTTAAGTTCTCCTAAGCAGTTGAGTGTTGAAGGAGGAGCTGTATTTTTATTTAATTGGCATCTTTTTTCATACAAGTTACGTAGACAAGTCCGCAACGGGCTCTTTTAGATGGTTTATCCCCACAGCTAGTGCTGCGTTAGTTGTTGATGGCATTTCTGCAGAAAACAAGATTAAATGCATGACGGAAATCGACGTCATTTTCAACTCTTCTGTCGGATGTACTTTTCCATCACAGTAATATGTGCAGCTTAGCAGCAGAAATCAGTACAGTTGTGCATTGTGATCGAATTTTCTTCTGCACCTATCAATGTTGTGCTCCAATTCTTCCATGAAACTGGAAAATAACACTTTAAACAAGCAATAAACGTATAGTTACTACATTGGCTGCAATAAAAAGCATTCCCAGTGCGATCGACATACATCCCAGTTTCTACAAACAAATGCAAATCGTTAAAGTCTCTTAACAGTAGTGTTGTTCCTGGATAGGAAAAATCTTTAAGGTCTTAATAAAAACTATTTGAAAATTGACAGTTGCCTTAACTTTCTTTCTTACAAGATGTCTAATAACATCTGAGCAAACACTTGGAAAAGCATATTATAAATCTGTCTGCTGTACCTGCAAGACAATAGAGCTACGTTAACAAGTAATGCCTCTCCCATGCACCTGGTAGCTAAGATAAGCATTGATGGATTGCTGGGAAGCACTGAAATGCAAATAATACAGCAAAATGAGTAAATGCAAAATGCTGGCCGAGTGCTGCTGTTTAGTGCTAGTTCTGTATTCACATACTTTGCTTTTATATGGATTTTCTAGCAACCAGGATTTAGAGAAAAAAAGCCGAACCCGATTTTTAGGGACATTTGTCCTAATTTCTACTTTTAGATGATAAATCAAAAAGTGACAAAAGAAAAGACATGCTACGGATAGGAGAATTGGTGATATAAAGCCTGTGGATATGACTGCCTTTGGTCGGAGAGCTATTGACAACTAAAGCGATGCAAGCCGTGAGCCAACTGGAAAGGTTTCGCTACAGAGCTTCCCCGCCGTACCTACATAAAGCTGTCAGCAAAGTAACTTCGCGACATGGCAAGGAAGAACAGAGGCGACGTCCTTTTCCCACGGATCCGTTTTAAATCCCGTGTTCCTACGTTGATCTATGGACACGTATGATAGCCAGTAAATACCCCTTGCCTGAGTCCAGTTCCCAAACCGAACAAAACAACAGATAAAGCTAGATTGCCAAGAGGGATCGGTGATGTTGCATAGAAATGTAATGACTGTTAAGACCGACTCGTCGGTGTTTCCTTACAACGCCAATTAAGCTGTGATAGCTGACGCGGGAGGTTGACCAAGTGGAGCGGCGGGGACGACGCTCAAAAAAGAGGGGGAGCTGCGTAAAACATTAATTGTTTGTTTAATGGTCAGTTTCGGTAAAGAGCTACTTCTGGCTTGGCCGTGGCACTATACCGTTTGGGTCGACTTCAAGGATTTGCCAGTATCCCTAATACCTTTACAAAGTTGGATGCGACACCATCTCCGACACAATCGCCTTACATCGCAAATTAAGATATTTCGCTTTAGCTTGATTATATTATAAAATTTTTGCTACAAACTCTGGATTGCAAGAATGAACTATTTTGTTCTAGCTCACCGCGAATGCTACATTTTTCATGAGTACCATTTTAAATTGGGAGGCTTTAGCAAGATGAACTGCAAAAGAGTCGCTGAGTTCCTCTTTACCTATGAAACACCAAAGATGGTGGAAATAACAAACTATAAAATAGGGATTTTTCACAGGCTTCTTCAAATTGCAATAACAGTGTACGTTGTCTGGTAAGATCACAAAAATTAAATGATTTTTCAGCTGGGTACTGATTTACGACAAGGGTTATCAAGAAAACGATGAAGTTGTGTCGTCAACTGTTACCAAGACGAAGGGACTAATGGTTGAACGGTGGGCTCAGAACGAGGAGGATGTAGCAATAATTTCCGACGCCGCAGATATTGTTAACCCTCCTTTGGAAAATAATGCGTTTTTCGTGACAACGCACCGAATAGTTACGCCGCGACAGACATCCAGTCGTTGTCCTGGGATAAGGTAGTTGGTTATTGCATTTACAGTTTAGAAATAGTAAAAAATCCTCATGTGGACGAGATGGTGATTGCGAAAAAATGCAATTATCCTTATCTGAGGCAGGTAAGTAAAGGCATTATCTACAAACCAATTATGTGCGGTTTTGGAGACCACATTTTGACTTTTGTGGTCGCTTTAGATATTGTACTTATCCATGTGCAACAGTTTTAATGAAGATTTAGTTTGCGCTCCTATCTCATTAGTTACCATGCAACTAAAATATTTTTCTTTCAAATAGGTGCACGAACAGGAAAGTGTGTAGATTTTCATGACGGGAAGGGTGTTTGCGAAATTTACGCTTGGTGTCCTCTTGAGAATGATACCATTGTTCTCAGTTACAACTTACAGACGCGCTTTGAGATGATTTCCAACTACACAGTCTACATAAAAAACGATATTGAATACCCAAAATTTCATATAAAAAGGTTTGTTTGACCAATATTATAATATTTTTATCATATAATACATGTCTTTTTCGATATTTAGGCAAAATGTTTATTACATACACTCCTGAGTGTGTGTTTTGTCCTTGCGATTGTGAAAATAAGGCCATTTTAACTTCTCTTGCGGATGCTTTTGGTTTGTTCAGAAAATTTAAGGTAACTACACAATAGGTTCATATTTTTCTGTCAGAACTTTAGAAATTTTGAATAGGATAATCTGCATGAAGCCCATAAGGCTTTAATCGCAGTTTATTTTATTATTTAAAAACCAGTGGACTCTGTTATTTGTGTATTTTAGGAGGAATCGTGATGCATGGGTATCAAACAAACCTCTCGGCTCATGTCGTTATAATCCCAGTGACGAACTTGACAAATACTGCCCCATTTTCAGGCTTGGAACAATTTTTGAGGAAGTTGGGCTGAAACCATCTGCACTTACCAGGGTGTGTCTAACTGTGATGTTGATGATGGTGAACCCTTTTATGTCGATTTGATGTTTTTTGATTACTATTTTAACGATGTAATGGCAGCCCTGGATCAGTCATCTTGATCAGTCGACTTCGGTCTTTAGAGTTAGTTTAAAGTCACCGGACCTCCGTAGCTCACTTTACCACAGTTTGGAAGTCAAATTTTCTTTTCAAGACGTTCCAATACTGCCTGTATTTTACAAAGGCCGGGATTGAATGAAGAAAGGTGGGAGGGTTTTTTGGCTTTTTTTTTCTTTACTAATTAGTTTTTTCACTCGAGAATGTTGAAAGATTCGACCAGGCATCTTCTACACCTGTCTTTGCCACAGTCGATCTTTCCATTACGCGTTAAAAAAACATAGATCGCCCTAAATAATATAAAATATTTCCAAAATTAACAAGACAAATGAGTTTAAAGGTGCCTATTAAGCCAATTGTTCATGGCACCTCAATGAAAGAAGGGACGAGAGTTTATAAAGTATTTGCATTTTCCACTTTTGTGATTCCTCTGTAATTAAAATGCACAGATCATTATATCCAGTCCAAAAGGATTTTTTGATGTGCATACCTACTTTTTTTTACCTGATTCTTTAGGGTGGGGTGATTGGGATCATCATCAACTGGGATTGTAATTTGGACTGGGGTGCCGGGAACTGCAAACCCAGCTACTCCTTCACCAATCTAGACGTGGACAATGACGGCAACAGTGGATTCAATTTTCGGTGAATCACTTAAATGCAGCCATTCAAACGCCACTTGTACTTTCTTTTCATCCATTGTTCTTTATGTAGCTACATGCGTACTAACATCACACCGTCAAGAAGTTGGGTCGCTTCAACAGCCCCAGAACAGCGTAGATGGTCAAATCCCGGTCGGTGGCATTTCGTATCATGGCCCACACTATTGTCCTAAGGGAACCTTTAAAAGTAATGCATTCATTACACGAGTCATACAGTTATTCATCGGTTACTTTTCCATACCGACATGCCAAACTGCCGGGCGCCGGAAGAATACCTGTTTTTTTTTCCCACCCTTCTTTGTCCCACTCTATCGCGATCTCCAAACACACTGGCATATTTCAATTGCACCGTTGCATACCTTTCTCTTAACTGACCTGGGGTGTGATGGAGCACATCCTTGAAAAGATTATTACCAAACAATAGCCCTTTAAGCAACGGGTTTTGACACCATTCTGGGCATGGAACGAAAATCATGGGAGAAGTTGCTTCTACATGCCATTGCTTTGAGGTTAACCAGATGAAAGTCACAATTTCGTGGCCCTTTGGCATTTCGCTTACTGCCTGAGAAAAGAAGTGGCGGTGTGTTCCGATCAATTTGGTTAGCTATCCTTTCTACTGCCACGCATTCCTTGTCGTTATTGAATTCACTTTCTGTCCCCGTGTAAACAGGCACTCATCTCACGGTTTGCATTGTTTTCACCCTCCCAATGATTCTTCACTTGGTTTTCCCCCACAAACCACAAGTCGAGGGTAATAAGTCGGCTTGTACAATGGGATTTTATTTGATGCTGATTTATGCTTTTTCGCGAGTAAATGTCGGTGGATCGGTCTTGCACTTGGCAGACCGGAAACTACTGTCTAAAGAGGAGGGATGTAATTACCATTACAAAAGGCAATACCATGTGCCAGATCTCCCAATTATATGCACTACACTGTGCATTTCGATCCCTGAGGCGATTTGCCCGAGAACCTTTTGAACTATTTTAAGCATTACCTACGCTACTTCAGACTGCTACTAAATGTCCGTTTGGTTCTGCTTTGCCAGAAAGGAGACTTTCAGGCTTGATTAGTTCCCCAATGCACCCGCCTCTGTTTTCACAAATTCATTGAAGTTAAAATCGTGAAGGGATGCGATCCACTAGACAGATACATGAAGCACCCAGTCCGTAGTCTAAACATGACCTGACTTAGTACTCTCCAAAGGTCAAGTGGTAAAATACCTTGTTTTACACTTCAATTATCTATGTTGTGTTAACTCCTGCGCGAACGCCTGATTCTTGATTCCTTCACTGATACTGATTTATTTACAGAGATGGGAGGGGGAAATTAGTAGTGCCCATCAGATTTAATGACTGAAATAGAGGTTTACAATAGGTGTGCCCACCCGTTCCTTCCAAATAACACTTTATCGACCAATCAGAGATTGTCAAACCTATCAAGAATAGAAGGTAGTGCGATACTTCTTGCGTTGCAGAGTATCTTCAGCCAGTCACTTGCTAATGTCAAAAAGAAATGCGCACTGCCTGGAGGTGCTGGTTACTTCGCCTTCAGACAATTTCGAGGCCTTGGGTAATTTGTTTTAAAGCAATTGGAATCTATATTCTAGATACGCATACCGCTATCGGGAAAACGGGACACTGTATCGGGATCTGGTAAAGGCTATCGGCCTACGATTCTCCATATTTGTCCATGGGCAAGCCGGGAGGTTCAGTATCATTCCCCTTCTTCTCAACCTCGGCTCGGGTCTGGCACTCCTGGGCATGGTAAGTTCAAACACTCCTCCTCCCACATCTAACCTGTAGATGACTAACTAAATGAGCATTTTCCTCTATCATTCATCAAACTCCCTATTTACAATCATTTTATAAAAATCTGCCTTATTTTCCCAAGATTCCTTCTCTCCTCGTGTCAACATTAATGCATCAACCTTAACAACGTCACACCCCAACAACAGATTAACCAATTACCTCCTTAACGATGTCATTCTTTCATCTTAATAGTATATGGTTCATTCTCATAAACATAATAGATAACCGGAGGTGGGCAAGTCAAGCCAAATGAATTAGATTAAGCACTTCACATGTATTACTTCCCCCGCAGGAAAGATCTTGATTCGGCCGTTTTGAAAATCCCACAGAAGAGGAATAGTTAGGATGAGCTCACACACTCATCCCCACGAGTCACGAGAAGTGGGCGATTGCTCAGTCTCATCCCACATTCGTGGCAAATCAGCTAATCGGTTAGGAAGGAATTGTTTTTAAGGTTAAGGGAGATTTAAAGGGTTTGTAAAACTCCCATGGATTAGAATTATGCATTTTGTTCATCAGCTAGCTTTGCCAGTCTGATGAATGAATAGCGCCTGTTGGGAGTTACATCTAACTAGATTCCCTGTAATGAATCATGAAAGCAAAAGGAGGTCCGCTTTTTTCCTCACGTGTACAGCGGAACAAAGACGGTAGGTTTGCGAATTTCTCCACGCACTAAAAAGGTGGGTGGTATGTTAACTAAAGGGAAGAAGTGATCTTTGCGTTTGCGGTGGAAGGTTTCTAAAAGTTGCTCATTACTACCATGAAATATTGTACTAGGATCAGCATCTACTTAAATGGCTTTGTGAGTAGCGCGTTCAGAACTGGGGCAGACTACGAACGTCTCGTAGGCAGCATTAGAAAGATCACCCAATAGCCGGATTCCATGAATTCCACAAGAGGTTTATAATTGGCACCTACATTGACTAAGGGGGCATAAGAAATGACATTCATTACGATTCATTTCCATACCACCTCAAACTTTCTCCCCATCCTTTGAGAGGGGACAGGCATCGGTCTTGACCTTTGTAAGAGGTGCTTTGATGGAGGTAGGTCGGATCTAAAACACACTTTGATAGTCTGTTTTGCTCTCATCATTAAAGCAACAGCGTCATCTTTTTCAGTGTATCTCCCTCGATGTACTTCGAAATGGCGCTTTTTCCCCCAACGGCAATCCGTCCACCATATGTGATTTAAGTACTCGAAAAGGCAGATAATTTGAAGATTTTTTCCAGCACTTCCTGTACTCTCTTAATACTGAATGCCATCACAGATTTTATGACTTAACCCAAGTAATGCTTGAATGCAGTAAACTTTGAATCTCGTTATAGCTTCCACTCTCTTCTGTTTGGACATAGCATTTGGCTTTTTTGTTTTCCGATCACATCCGCCTCAAAAAAAGAAAGAGGCTGCAATTATGAAATTTGGAGGGAAACTGGCAGAAGAGGCTCCAATCTTTTAGTCTAATGCTTACTTTTGCCATTTAATTTCACTACCAAGTAAATGGCATTGGGAGGACTTTAAAGGGTCCATACTGGCACTTAACATCATGAATGGGAAAATCCCATTTTAAAATGGACAACTGACTATCGATGAAGGCATTTCCACGAACAACAAACTCTGACCATGCTTAGGCTAGCTATCTAGTCCAAAGTCATTTAGTCACGTTCGTAATTTTTGCGTCGAGCTGCTTTCCGATTTGGATGGTGCCTTCTTTTGGTGATTGTTATTCTCTACAGCTATGTTGTCTAGTCCTTCTGGAATGCACGATGTGTGTTACAATTCACGAAGCTTCGCCCGTTCACTTACTATCAAGAACACATATTTTCCACCTAGGCGCCAACGATTTGCGATATAATTATCCTGAATATTGTTGGCTCAAAGAACGTCTACAAGGACGCGAAATTCGAGGTGCTCACGAAGGACGAGATCAGCACTGGAGTGAGAAAGTCAATTCCTCCAAGTCATTCAAGGTATGCGATTGAGCTCAACTCCAGCCGTGGACAAATGCCTCCGGCTGAGTCCCCGAAGGGCGGTGTGAACGGAGATGAAAATCCCGTGAGGAGGAGTTGAAGATGTCTTCATTCTCACCCAGCGTGTCGTGATGTGCTCCCCTCTAATGTCGCACCATCTACAAGTCAGTACTCTTCTCTCCATTTGAGCTACATGCAACGATCCATGTGGCAAACACCGTGCATGTACTTTGATCCTAGTTTACCATTGCTTTGTGTTAATGTGTAAAAGGCGGTCACTCCAACCACTGCATCTCCATTCGCCATGCTGCTAACCAGACGACTAACGTCAATGCATGGAGGGAAGTGTCGATAGAAGTGTGTGCTGTACCGACGAACGTTCACCTCGAATAATCAAGTTTATTGGAGAACTGAGGTTGACTGTTCTTTTGTTTAATAAACTGGTGTTTTGTGAGAGAAACTCTCTTCTCGATTTCGATCTCACCGTCTTAAAATTCCAATTCTAATTCCGAAGGTAGTCTTATCTTACGTAATTAGAATTATTCTATGAAAGCGTGGACTTTAGAGATAGTGAATCTCCTAGTCTGAGCCACCTTGTGATTTTGTATTCAAGTCGCAAATATTTAATAAGGAGGGTAAAAAAACTGCGATGAATATTGCTTAAAAACGATGAAGCGAGGAGTGGAATTTACACCATTTGAATCGCTCATGTCACTGTTTGCCATGCATTATTAAGTCATAATTTTTGTGAATTTGCTTCACCTCAAGGCAAGCAGTATGGACTGAATTCCAAAGGCAGATACAGTCCCAGTTAATAAAATTCAATGACCACAGTGGCGCCCTGAGACTCTCCTGAAGGCGAAGGAAAGTGTAGTAACAAGGCCTAGAGACCACTGGTATGGTCTAGAGGTTATGCTGACCAGCGAAAGTACTAAGACAGGGTCTTAATTGCCCGTAAGCAAAAAACGAAGGGTTAAATAGATAATCCTAGTGTTACACAGCCATATGCTCCTTTTGAGTGTCGTCAGGAATTCCCCTGTTTCACCACTCGCGTGGGCCATCATACTGCAGTTAATACTGTTGGAAAAGCACCGACGAGCCAACCGCGCCACTCATCGAATTTGCGTATAACTGAGGCGACATTTGACTGCAACCTTACCAATCCTTCTCTGCGGTTTCACTGGATCTGGAGTTTTTTCCTATTTGGAAATTGTATTGGAGAATAGGGTATGTGCAGGACATCTCGTATGTCTATCGCTGGTGGCAAGAACACTGACTCAATTGCATGGCCATTCAGTAAAGAACGGAGGTCTAAAACAATTCCATGGGAAGAAGTGTCGTGTCTGTCCCTCCTTGCCACTTTGTTCCCACTTCAATGCTATCCTGTCATGTCTATATGTGTTCTACCCAGCTAGTTGAGAGGGGGAGGAGGTGTGATGAATTCACCTAGTTGATCTCTTCATATAGGAACAGGGACAACTCCATAATGAGCGTCTCTTTTGTTGCTGATAGCACTCACGAGGAAGGCGAGACTAAGGCAGTCGCCGAAGATGGACATCATGCTCAACCCTTGCGTTGGGGATCGTCGCCGATTCTCCCATCCGCAGCATATGCCCTTCTTGTGCCACTTTAAGGCCTTACATTCGGGAATAGAAATCAGGCAAGATGTCCTTCAGAATCGGGCTTGCTTTCCGCTGCCACTAATGTAAGCCCCACGTTATTCCCGAAGACGAGAGAAGACATAACACTAGTCCAGAATATGTATTGTAGACATACATTAGCTCTGGGGGATTACCAAAATGAAATTTTAGGCCAGTAGTTCAAATATTATATCAAGAGCATAAGTTGCCCCGGAGGCAAAGTATAGCACATCATTGAGAAGTTGACTCATCATGATTCCACAGATGGGTTAAAGAAAAGTAGCGCTTGAACTTTTCCTGAAGTGGAATGCAGGCATAAGAGTTGGGCAGAATGTGTTTTGGCGCCCAGAGGCCATACCGCTGAGCAAAGGAAGAATGGCAGAACCTTAGGTGCTCCGTTACCAAAAGAGTGTTAAACAAAGTATTACAGGTAAATAGAAGTTAATTGTTCCATGACTAGTCCAAAATAACTCGTAAACTTGCATTTGCAAGTTTTTTATTCTCTCTGTTCAAAATGCCAAAATTTTTTTTATATATCTGGCTGCAGACTTATCCGTGAACAACATCAGATAGGGTAAATTAATGATGACATTGTGAGAGTAAAGCATTTTTCCACTGCCGAAGCAAATCAAGCTGCTCTTCTTCATTTATTCGCCTTACTACAGCCAAATTCCTCTCCCGATCCGGATTTCACTTCAGAATTGGGGTAAATAAAGGAGCCTTATCAGAATTGAATAAAGCAAGCATTTATCATTTTGGTACCCGTGGCTTTCTGAAGAAATTCGTAATTTATAAAACCAAAAATATTTAAGGAATGGCAGGAGGAAATTGGCTTGATTAGTAATACCAAGGCATTTCTGGCCCCTCAGCGCTTGCTAAAACTAAGATACACGACAAAGAAAATCACAGTGGCTGGAAATTTTTTTGCACTCTTATCAGGTCCGCCACGTGGGCGTTTCGTGGGGATGCTACCGCGACTGGTATTTATGACCGGTCGGGGCCGTGACATCGGTGCTACTTTCTAAAAAGCAACCCATTTGGAAGGCACAACTGCCCGCCGCAGGAAGCAACAACCACTTAACTAAAAGTGCTAAACAGTAAATAGATGTGTCTAAAATGAATGGGGAGTTGCAAAGGCAGAAAATGTTAATGAATAGAAGGATGAATGAACGGTTGGATGCATGCAAGATGGACAGATGCATACGAGAGGGATGGATGAATACGGGATTGGTGGATGGATGCACACGAGATGGTTGGTGGGGTGGATACGGGATGGATGGGTAGATATGGGATAAACCGATAGATACATACGAGATAAATGGAGGGATAGGGGATGGACGCATGGATAGGAGATGCATGAATGTGTACGAAATGGATGTTTGACGGATGGATGCAGGGAGAGTAGAAAAGCGAAAGAATTAGTAAAATCGGGGACAAATGCACCAGGTTGTAGAATATAGACAACAATTTAGCAATTTATAATGCGTGTGACAATGATTACTTCTTGTAGATGGTACAAATAATGTAAAGCATCAAATAATGCTTGCAGTGGACATGGCAGTACAAATCACCGGACGTAGATGAAATACTTCAATACCTCGCCTTCCTTTTAAGTCGCCCGTTTGCAAAGAAACCGATGTATACCGCGAGTTGAGGTAGCCAGTTTTAAGCCACGCAGGCTACCTTTTTGTGACGGCCAGCATTATACGAGGAAGTGGTTGCAAATTATCAGTGAAGTGGAAACGACTCGGTAAAGGCGTATAGGGGAAATGGGCAAATGGAACGGGTGAGGTAGGTGTCATTTTGCAACGCTAATAGCAGTCCATTAATTTCGGAACGCATTAGTGTATCACAAATCGGTAGAGATCCAACACCAATCGCTGGCATTTATCCCGTGCCCGATTCGTTAATTAAATATTACCAGTGTTGTAAATATTGTGCACCTATAGAAAAACTTTTTCTTAAATTGCCTGTGCAGGAATTAGCTGCATCTAAATTTCTCAATCTTATTTATTTTTGGTGCACCTTAACCGTTTCATCTTTTCAATGCATTAAACTAAAAATGAAAACTAATTTCGTACCCTGGGAAAGAAAGGTGTTTTCATCCCATCAGCTAGTTTTTAGGCCTTTCGTTCTCAGTTTTTAAACAACTTGACTGTTTAATGACTTTTAACTTGAATATAAAGATTATTTGGTTGCTCTAAGGTGGAATTAAAAGCACTATCCGTGGTGCACAGGAACACCCTGTTAAATTAAGGCGATGGAACATTTACTAGGAGGTCTCACGGAATGACATTTTTGCTGTTCAAAATTTCAATACTTCATTTTTTTGCTTAACTCTCGGTTTTGGCAGCGGGACACTTTGGAGCTCCGTCATTTTTACCTCCACCAGTAGCTCCTATGCCCTTCTCAAAGCCAGTGATACATATTCTGCCTCAGAATTACATCTTTTTTCGTCTTTAGAGAGGTCTCAGTGGGGTACATTAGTGGTAGCGGAAAGCAAACTCGATCCTAAACCGCAACCTCCCCGGATCCCATTGCTGCTTAGTAAAGCTCATCATGGCGGAGGAAGAGAGTGTGTTGCGGGTGGGAAATTCTGTGACAACACCTAACGGAAGGGTTTGGGCAAGAAGTCTACCTTCGGCAACTGCCACAGCCTCGTGTTCTGTGTAAATGCTATCAACAACTAGAGCAGCACTAGCTGTGGCCATAAATCATCTGGAAAAGCTTTCTACGTAGTTATCAGTGTTCCCTGTGTGAAGATGTCAATGAAGTAAACATGTGATATTGTTGGATAGGTTGGATAGAACCTAAATAGATAAGTATGGGTGGGCAGTACTGAAGTGAGAATGAAGTGACAAGGAGGAATAGATGCCAAACATCATCTCTATGAAACTATTTTTAACTCAGTTCTTAATTAAATGACTGTGCTTTTAGGTTACTATTCCTACGACTTGGGATGGACATACACAGTAGCCTGCACATTTCCCCATTACAGTTGCCAAACAGGACGAAACTCCAGATTCAGTGGAATTGTGAAACGAGATCAGTGACGTGGCAGTCGGATATCTTCCCACTTGCGTGAAAATTCGGTGACTGGTGCGGTTGGCTCTTGGGGCCTTTGCCTGCACTACCGATTGCGTTGCGGTGGCCGAGGTGGGTGGTTGACCAACGTGAGCGCTGGGGGACGACACAGTCAACCGGCTCAGTTGCACGCAAGCTAAGTGACTGGCGCGGATGGTTCGTAAAAGTTTCTGTTACACGTCAGCCATATATATTCCGTGGTGGTGTTACGCTTTCTTCCGTTTTTAGGGAGCCCGGGGTACCGCAAGAATCTTTCAAAATATGAGTATTTTGTTTAAAATTCATCTCTTGATTCTACGCTAAATATTTCCTAGGGTTGTGTTTTCTGAGAGGATAGCAGAAGGTCCTTGTCTTTACAAGAGAATTGGTCTTCGCA